TAAAAGCAAGGTAAGGTGCTTGCAGATATGAAAATAGTGATAGAGAATGAGTAACTCAACTTTGTCTCAAGCAGAGGTTAAAAATGCAAGCTGGGTAAGCCACTGCTTCCCATTCAGATCCCTGCTAATGCATCCCAACAGTCAGTGAAGTAATGGTTCAACTGCTTGGGCCTCTGCCCTATGCTGTAGACCCAGCTGGAGCTCTTGGTTCCTGACTTCAGCCTGATCCAGTGATGACTGCTTTAGGCATTTGGGAAGTGAACCACCAGTCAGAAAATTCAGCCTCTCTTTCTCTCCCTTTTGCTGTAAGCATTTAAAAAGTGTGTCTTGCCCTTCTAGCAGAACTTTACAGTATGGTGGGCATTCCGATCATTTCAAAGACATACATGATTTCTGTAATGAGAGAACACACGAGAAACATGGGAACACAAAAGAGTAACACTTCCAAAGCCTGAAGTTCATAAAGGGACTTCAGAGAATAAGATTTCAGGAGAGTATAACGGTTCAGGGCTGAGGACTTAGCACATGGCTTAGGATTGCAGTTTTACAACTCTTTATTTTTACTTGAAAGGCAGATTCAAAGACAGAAGGAGATACAGACAGAAACATCTTCCATCTGCTGGTTCACTCCCCAAGTAGCTGCAACAGCCAGAGCTGAGCCAATCCAAAGTCAGGAGCTTCTTCCCAGTTTCCCATGCAGGTGCAGGGTCCCAAGACTTGGGCCATCCTCTGATGCTTTCCCAGGCCACAAACAGGGAGTCGGATGGGAAACAGAACAGCTGGCACATGAATTAGTGCCTGCATGGGATCCCAGTGCTGCCAAGGGAAGGGTTTAGCCAATTGAGCCATATCACATCAGGCCCAGTTTTATACCTCTTATTTAACTTGCATGTTTTTCTCTTAGATTCCCAGAGTGACAGCCTAGAAAACAACCAGGCCCTAAAATATAGTACTACCAGAATCCAAAGACCACAGAGGAATCTCCCCATAACCTTAGCTATGATTGAGCTTTCTCTGAAGGCAATTCCTACCTCTTCAAGCACAATTCCCTCTGCACATCATCAATCAGGTTTATGTTACCCTGAAGGCCTAAAAATGCACCTGTACTGGTTTGCTCAGAGCACAGCTGAGAGTGTGAAGTTATCTTCATTTCTCTGTAACCCTCAGGAAAGAAGGTTCAGAGGGTGGTGATCATACCTTGAGAGCAGCAGGAGGTGACTGCAGTGATGACCGTAGTGCCCTTTAAAATCAGCAGAAGGAACAGCCAGATGAAGGCAAAGGGCACTTTCAGCCATTGGTTCGTGAGCACCTCACAGCCCACACGCCATCACAGGCTTGTGCACCACACATAGGCTACCAGCTGCTCTATTAAGAAATCCACCCAGCGCCAGGCTAAATCAGTAGCTACACTATTTTTTTCTCCTAAGAAGATGATATTAGGTGCAAGAAAAGTGACTTGGCCATTGGAGAGTGTACAAATCCCAGGTGCAAAATAGCCATTATTCTGGTTCGTGTGTGTGTGTGTGTGTGTGTGTGTGTGTGTGTGTGTGTGTGTGTTTGAAAGGAACATGAAAATAACCATACTTGAGTGGCCTGAAATGTATGACCTTGGCAGCCAAGAAGAAAAGAGTATCACAAAAATTCCTACAGGCATAAATCCCATCAACAGAACTGAATAATATGTTACCAACAATTCTGAAACCAATAGCAGATAAGGAGAAAGCAGAACCCAAAGCTGAAGAAGGTAGACACACCCCAGCTCTGCCCAGAAGTGCAAAGCACCTTCATGCAGAAACTAAGAAGATATAGCAGTTACAAGTGGGGTTTTTTTTAAAGATTTATTTATTTACTGGAAACTCAGATATATAGAGAGGAGGAGAGACAGAGAGGAAGATCTTCTGTCCAATGATTCACTCCCCAAGTGAGCGCAACAGCCAATGCTATCCCGATCCTAAGCCAGGATCCAGGAATTTCTTCCGGGTATCCCACACGGGTGTAGGGGCCCAAGGCTTTGGGCTGTCCTCGACTGCTTTCCCAGGCCACAAGCAGGGAGCTGGATGGGAAGTGGAGCTGCCGGGATTTTAAATTGTATTACATTTTGCAGTAGTAGTCCTTTCTAGTTGTCCTTCATGGTAACCCCGAGTGGCATACAGCAGCTCTGCCTTCTTGAGGCTCTCTTGCAGCATATTCAAGAAACCTCACTTTGTCCTCTGCATTTTATTCCCCTAGTGGATTATTTAGCCAAACAGACACAAACCATCAAACTGATGGCTTCCACAACATATACCACATTAAAGAGTCTCAATAAAGCAAGCAGTTGTTTTCTCAGCAGAAATCCTGGGATGGCACACTGAAAATGTGAAGGAAAAAGCTTCAAGCCAAGAATACTTTGGAAGACAAAAATGTTATTCAAAAATGAGGGGAAAATAAAAACTTTCCCAGACATGCAAAAGCTAAATTCCTGCCTTACAGAAATTGCTAAAGGAAAGTTCTTTAAGCTGAAATGAAAGCTCACAAATTAAGAACATAAACATACAAAGGGCCCCACACAAGGACTCTGTGGCTAAACCCTCTCCTTTCAGGTGTCATGGTCCCATATGGGAGCCAGTTTGTATCCCAGCTTCTCCACTTCCTATTCAGCTCCCTGCTTGTGGCCTGGGAAAGCAATTGAGGACAAGCCCAAAGTCTTCAAACCCTGCGCCCGCGTGAGAGAACTGGAAGAGGCTCCTGGCTCCTGGCTTCAGATCAGCTGTTGCAGCCACTTGGGGAGTGACTCAAAAGAAGGAAGATCTTTCTCCATCTCTCTTTCTTTCTGTAAATGTGGTCTGCATTTCCAATTTAAAAATAAATATAAATACAGATTTTTTAAAAGCACATGGTTAATTTATTGATTTCTCTTAGTTTATCAATTAAATATTTGGTCCATTTAGGAATCTATCATGTGTAAGGTCCAAGATGTGGGTCCAACCACATTTTGTTAGAACTTCCCAATTGCTCCAATAATATTTATTAAATAAACCACTTTATTCAGATTTTAAAAAGCAACTTACTTAAGTATTTGCAGTGTCAATCATTTAACTCCATATTACATGATTCAAGCTCTGTTTTTTGAGGTTTCACATGCCGCTAATATCACTGGCTCATCTATGAGAGACAAGGATTTGGTTTACATTTATCATCTCTTTCTCCCCTCCTCCAATGTGTGATAATTCTGTCATGTTTAGCTCCTCTGCTGAGTTCTGTTGTCACTTTAAATAACTTGCTTACGCCGCTATTTCTTATTGCAACAACTCTAGTCAGTATCTCAGATTAAGTTAAATGAATTGGCCTGAGGGTGTCTGTGTACTTTGCCTTCCTATGAAAAGAATGAAAACTCAACCTAGCACACAAACAAACTGAAACTTAATGTAGGAGTCTCATCTTCTGAACAGTGCTGGGTCTTGGTCAATCATTAGCAGCGAATATTCAACCAATAAGAGGCAGTCAACCAATCAGACCATGTCCAAACAAGGCACACATCTGGCTCTAACCTACCAAGCTATTTCTATGCTGAAATTCCCAGTTCAGCCTATAAATACTCACTGCCCAGAAAGGAGTTCTCCAAATATTTTCCAGCCCTGAGTACTGCTTAAATAATGAATCATTCTGCATTGTGTTAAATTTAATTTGCTAAAGCTTTTCTTCAAACAGGATACCCTGTGCTGGCATCTCATATGCACCGCAGTTCAAGACATGACTGCTCCACTTTTGGCCCAATTCCCTGCTGATGCACCTGGGAAAACAGCTGAGGATGGCTCAAGTCCTTCGGTCCTTGTATACACATAAGAGAACTGGATGAAACTCCTGTCTCCCGATTCCATGCTGGTGCCAGTTCATGTGCCAGCTGCCCCAGGTCCCATCCAGCTTCCTGCTTGCATCCTGGGAAACCAGCAGAGGATGGCCCAAAGTTTTGGGACCCTACACCCATGTGGAAGATCTGGAAGGAGCTCCAGGCTCCTAGCTTCAGATCAGTTTAGCTCCAGTTGTTGTGGCCACTTGGGGAGTGAACCAGCAAAAGGAGGATCTTTTTCTATCTCTCCTTCTCTCTGTATATCTGACTTTCCAATTAAAAGAAAAAAAAAATCCTGCTGTGGATTTCTGGAAGCTGTACCTCTGTGTGTTTCCTTTTCAGTTAAATCTGGGTCTATACTTAACACCCATTACTCACTCAAATCAATACATGAGCTTTTGTTCAATGCCTCAAAACTCAATCTTTTTGTACGTTATTGTAACTATTCTATTTATTATCATTCATTGTGGTTAATCTCTTAATTTCATTTCTCATTGATAAATAACTCCATCATAGCTATGTACCCTTAGGCGAAAAATACTACGTTCTCATGTATGATTCAGTGTTCTGAGATTTCAGGCATCCCATGGGATCTTGGAAAAGAAACCCCAGGAAAAGTGGGAACAGCTGCATTTTTAAATACCAACATGTTGCAGGCATTGTGATAATCTCTTGAGAAAGAGAACCCTAGAAATACGTGGTTTGGAAGCAAATCACTCAGCTCCCACCCCAAGTAGTTCATGGAACTAAGAAGTCACGGTCACAACCAGCAACAATTATTGCAGTCTTTTTAATCTCCACAACTCCTTAAGAGGTCGGTGGACAAAATTAAAAAAAAAAAATTTTTTTAAGAGGTAGGTGGACTGTATCACTGTGTCTCCCATTTGCAGGACAGAGTCCAGGGGATGGCCAAAAGAGCACAGCTACGGAGCTGTGGGTCTAGATGCCCTCCGTGACACAGGCTCGGCTTTACAACAGGTCAGCGAGCCTGCTGATAGGTTCCCTTTTGCTCCCGCCCCAGGTGAGCGGCCGTCTACACAGCGGTGGAGAACAGGAGGTTGGCCCTGCCCTCCGCTCCTCCCCTTACGCCTCAACCCCGCCGCCGAGCTCGGCCCTGGGCAGTTTCTAGCGCTCGAGGCTGCGCAGTCCACGCCGTGGGCGGTACAACCAGGCAGGCTGGGAAGCGGGGCGGGTCTCGCCCGGCTCCCGAGAGAGAAAGGACACACGCTTGGTGTTTTGGACCTGTGTACCGTGATCTTGGCTGTGGTCTTGACCCGCCGGAAACTGCAACATGAAACCCCTGCCGCGCACCCTGGAACTCTTCTACGACGTGCTGTCCCCCTACTGCTGGCTGGGCTTCGAGGTGACAGAGGAAGCTGCTGGGGCAAGGCTTGGAGGGAGAGGGCACTGGGACAGATGACTCCCCCAATTTGAGGTGCTGCCAGCAAATTATAACCGCAGGGTGCACCCCAGCCCTGAAGATGGCTTTGCATTGTTGTGCAGTAGATTCCCTGATCTGAAGATAAGCCCTTATATAGTAATTTCACAAGCGGGTTTAAAAATAAGCTAGAGGACCCCAAGGAACTGAGGAGTCCACGACCACCTCTTGTTTTCACTGTCAACAATGGGGTGTAAGATGCAAACGGGACTGGAAAACGTCCACTGGGGCCAAGATCCTGGAGTCCCTTTCTAGCAGTGGACAGAAGGTTGCGTTTCTAGTCAGAACCCAGCTCAGCACCTAGCCACTCTGCCTCATTGGCTGCCGACAACAGCTCTTCAATTCTTGCATCTTACACACGGGCTCTTCTCGCTCCTTGCTCTGCTAGGTCCTGTGCCGGTATCAGCACATCTGGAACGTCAAGCTGCAGTTGCGGCCCAGCCTTATTGCAGGGATCATGAGAGAAAGCGGTAGGCAGGGAGAAGGCTTTGGGGCGGGGGAGGGCTGGCAGTGGGGTGAGCTCAGCTTCCCAGGGGAGCCCTTCTCAGCCAGCCTTTTGTGGACACCTGCAGTTAGGCAGTTGTCCTCTGAGACACAGATAATGTCCTCCAAGCCTGGTGCCTTTAGGTCATCTGTCACCATTGCTAATTGTCCACTGCCAGGAAACAGGCCTCCAGCTATGATTCCAAGGAAAGCGCAATACTTGAGAAGTGATGTGAAGCTCCAGGGACAGCATTTCCAGGTTCCCATCCAATTCCCAAAGGATTTCTTCGGTGTGATACTTGAAAAAGGTGAAGAGGGAGCGGGGGAAGTGGACTGGGAATCAAGTTGAGAGCAAAGAAGTCTGAAATGGAAGTATAGGAAACTTACAGTGGGATGAGAATGTAATAGGGAGGTGGAGCAGGGCAAACCAATCGTGAGAAGTCATGGGCAGCTGAGCCTGGGAGACGCCGAAACCAAGAAGAGTTGTTTGTCACCAAATTAGAGGAAGAGCCTCCACTGATTATCCCTGCCCCACAGGAAGTGTGTCTGCCATGAGATTCCTCACTGCTGTGAACATGGAATGTCCGGAGATGTTGGAGAAAGTGTCTAGAGAGCTATGGATACGCATCTGGGCACGCGTGAGGGCCGGGCTATGGGTCCACTGGGTTTGCAGGGGTCTGGATGATCTTTGTCCCTTGCCAATACACTTCCAGAAAGCACGGTCCTGCCCTTGCCTGTTATGCCAAGCCATGTGTGCTACTCCTTTCCTGAAGTCTGCTCTTCTTCCAGGATGAAGATACTGTGCAGCTCCAGAGCATCCAGGCTGTGAGTGTCTTGTCCATTCCCTTCCTGCTGTTACAGGGAGTTGATTTGGAGAAAGAAAACCCTCAAATATATTTTATTTTTCATAGCAGAGTTCAGAGATATTTGAAAAGCAAGAATATCGCTGGTTAGTAACAAATTATAGAAAAAATTAAAACTTGAAAGAACAATTCATGATTGAAAAGCAAGGTTGAAAAGGGCCAATGGATGAGTAGCGCATTTTAATACGTCAGGGGGAAACACGGTAACCAAAACCTCAGAAGGGAAGAGATGGACTTATGAATATCCTACACTCAAAAAAAAAAAAAAAACCACCACTAACACAAGCAGATAGGAAAACAGGAGACATTAAAAAAATAAAGGCGAGATTAAAATAAAAACAAGGGCCGAGCATAGTGATTCAATTACCTAATTCTTGCAAGTGCCAGAGTCCCCTATAGGCATCGATTCATAGCCCAGCGGTTCCACTTTCCATCCAGCTCCCTGCTGCTTGTTGCCTGGGAAAGCAGTGGAGGTTGGCCCAAAGTCTTGGGAATCTGCAGTCACATGGGGGACCCAGAAGGAGTTTCTAGCTCTTGACTTCGGGTCAGTTCAGCTCCAGCCACTGCAATCATTTGCGGATAGAACCAGCAAATGCAATGTCTTTCTCTTTCTCTCTCCTCTCCATAAACCTACCTTTCAAACAAAATAAATAAATCTTTTAAAACAAAACAAAAAGAGATACCTGATGCCAGAAAGATGCAGAAGATAAGAAAGAACATATGGAAGGAGCTGTGAATATTGACCTGTCCACCAGCCAAAGACAGCAGTCTAAAATCTGCCTTTTTCTTTAGGTCTAAGTCAGACAGTGTTTTGCAATATTCCTATTCCAGTTTATAGAAAATAGTTGTGGCATACTCAATTTAAGTGTAAAATATGAAATAATAGCTAAGTGTACAAAAACTATCCACCATATACTTTAGTGTCTACATTCCTGCAAACAATGTGTGTTTTTACTTACTATCTGACAATCATTGACCTTCCTACTTTTCATGCTTTGACTACAGTTCTTGTGCATGGCCTTATTATGACCTTGCATTTGTTTTTCCGACAATTCCAATAACCCATAGTTGGAACATCTGGTCTGGGATAGGATTCTCTCATTCACTCAAGTCAAGTAGCTAGGTTATTAGCATGGACAGCTTGGCTGTGTAGGACCACTCAAGGTCCACAAGCTCTGTTTGCTCTAGCTGCATGTTAGTATCATCTGGAGGATGCAGGTGCTGCCCCCACAAAAATCCTGATGTAATATTTTTAGAGGAAGAAAGCACAGTGGGATTTTTAAAAACCGCTCCAAGAGATTCTCATGGCCAGGCAAGACTGAGAACTTTTGAGCCTCAGGTTAGCAACAACTCCTAACAGTAAGAAGTCCCAGGATGTTGCCTGGAATTAGAGCAGGAGAGATCCAGAATTCTGAAAACAGGAAGCCAAATGCCCCAGACATGAATTCTAGGAGCCTGGATTCTACCATTGGCTCTGCACAAGACAGGCTCTGCTGTACCTCTGAACAAGGAATGTGTCCCCTCCCACTGTAGCCTCCTGTGTCATGAAGGGAAGACATCAGGCTAAGCTGGTCCCCAAGATGCCCCAGTAGTGTATGTAGTGACAGGGTACCCTCCCTCTGCTCTTTCCATTCCATCTTGAGATCTGGAACAAAGGAACAAACCCTCACTCGCAAGTACACAAAACGATTGCGGGCGCACATGGGTGTAGAAGATGGGAACCCTAGAGTTCTCTGGAGTTTGCAGCCCCCTCCACACTGACAGCCTTGTCCTCCTCCCACCTCCCCGCAGGCTGCAGAGAAGGCTGGTATGTCTGCAGAAGACGCCCGAGCACTGCTCGAGAAGATCTCCACACCACAGGTGAAGAACCAACTCAGGGAGACTACGGAGGCAGCCTGCAAGTATGGGGTGAGCAGCTCTTGGTGTTTCTTCCAAACCCACAGCCCAAACATGGACTGAGTGGGTTCCCTGCTGCTGTTCAAAAGCCCCCTACCCATCCTGAGTCTCCTAAGTCTCCCAGATGACCTTGTCTTCTCCCCTGGTAAGAAAGGGAAGGAGACAGATGGTGAAGGAAAGCATAAAGCACCTGAGACTTAGAAACACAAGTCATGCCTCAATGTATTATGGAATCTGTTGTCAGACACCTCTGTGTGCTTTGCTTCTGCACGCCTACCAAGTGTTCTCAGGAAGCCTTCCACCCCAGCCCTGTAACACCTGCTCCATCATCTTCCTCCCTGAACTTTAACTGCTTCCTCCAGGCCTTTGGACTGCCCATCGTCGTGGCGCACATAGATGGCAAGACACACATGCTATTTGGCTCTGACCGCATGGAGCTTCTGGCTCACTTACTGGGTATGTTAAATATTCCATAGTGAGCTACCTGTGATCCCATCCTTAGCCTTGTTATTTCATTTGATCTAAAGTGGGAAGAACAATAAAAAGGGAGCATGGCCATCCCAACAGCACAGCCTTGTACAGACAGTGCTTCTGAATGGTGAGTGGGGAGGCCACATAGCCCTCAAGCCCAGCCAAGAAAAGGAGGGTTTCTTGCCCTTTCCACCAAGCAGGGCTCTTCCTGGAAAACCCATTGTTCCCTGTGGGCCCGTGTGCTGCCCTCAACTCAGTTAAGAACCATGTGTGGACATGTGTTAATTTCTTGTTCCAGGAGAGAAGTGGATGGGCCCTGCGCCCCCAGCTCTGAGTGCCAGACTTTGAGACTGCCTGATGGACGCTCCCTTTCATTCAAAAGAGCAGACAGAGTGCTGAATTCCTCCTGCACTGCACCACTGAGATTGGGTCTTCTGTTTGACAGAGGTATCGCGCTTGGCCCTCTACACTTTTTGAATCTCTATGCACACCCAAGGGTGCCAGAGATTTTCTCTACCATTAGTCTGTTTCTGTCTCTGTGCCTCAAGTATCTTTGAAGTGCATCAAATTCTGCTTTGCCAAGGAATAAATCTAATACTGTTTGCTAAAGCATTTGCAAATCTATGTGTGCCATGTTGTTCTTTAGTGCTCTTGTTGGTGCATCGTATCCTGGTCCCTCTAAGGGCTAAGAGACAAAAAGTATTTTCTGTCCCCCTATATAGTCCAACCCCAACTGGTCTTGAAGAACCTAGGGGAGGTAGCAGGATATGCTGCCCTGATCTCTCTGTACAAAGACAAGAAACAAAGTCCAATCAATCTGTAACTGAACAGTTTGCCATTTACTGTCTCTGAGATAGAGCTCAGCGGGGGAGGTCAGTAGGAGACCCACAGTGTCATCGAGCATGTGCTCAGAGTGTTAACATGGGCCAGGCATTCAGAACACATCAGTGCAGGGCAATGCAGGGAGAGAGCTGGACCTGCTTGCCTGGAGAGATTGCTCACCCCGTCTCCTCCCATAATTCACATCCTCAGAGCAGCTCAATACTTTTTTCCTGGACCTTACACAACCGGTGTGTCTTCCAACATACCTGTGACTTCACTGTTCCCTCGTTCTTCTATCTGAGGTCCCTGCTTTTGTCTATGTGTCCTTTGTACTTTAATCAGACTCCTCAGAGTCAACACCATTTGAGCTTGGGAATACTCCTTGATAAGAAAGTGATAACACACAAGGACACCTGTTGGGAAGCAGGTGCACAGCCTCAGATGGTGCTGTGGAGCCGAGGAAGGAGCCAAGGGCCCCTTAGCCTGCGCCGTTTCTGGTCTTTCTGATCTCATGCTCCAGTTTCCCTTTTACTTCCCAACTACTCTGTCTTCATGATCTTCATCTTCATTGTCTTATTCTATGATTTCATTTTTCCATGATGCAGATACATCTTTTATTTTTTAAAAAATATTTATTTCTTTTTATTGGGAAGGTAGATTTACAGAGAAGGGGTGAGACAATGATCCTCCATCCACTGGTTCACTCCCTAAGTAGCCTCAATGGCTGGAGCTGAGTTGATCTGAAGCCAGGAGCCAGGAGCCTCCACTGGGTCTCCCGTGCAGGTACAGGGTCCCAAAGCTTTGGGCCATCCTCCACTGCCTTCACAGGCCACAAGCAGGGAGCTGGATGAAAAATGGAGCAGCCAGGACACAAGCCATTACCCACATGGGATCCCCAGCAGATGCAAGGTGAGGATTTACCTATCACACCAGATTCGATGTAGAATCATCTTTACCTGCTTAAAGTTTATCTTCTTTTATTCAAAGAAGTTTTGTGACATGCATGAAGATGATACCAAAGTTTGTGGAAAATGCAACTAAAGTGTAGTTTATTGCAGGCAGTGCTGTGGCACAGCAGGTAACACTGCCATATCAGCACTGGTTGGAGTCCCAGTCTCCACTTTCTTACTTTCAGTTCTATGCTACTATGTCTGTGAAAGCAGTGAAAGGTGCAAGGTCTTTGGGCCCCTGCAAACACTTGGGAGACCCGCATAAACTCAGCCTTGGGACCCTACACCCTTGTGGGAGACCCGGAAGAGACTTTGGGCTCCTGGGTTCAGATAGGCTCAGCTCTAGCCATTGAGGTTGTCTGGAGAGTGAATCATCAGACTGAAGATCTTCCTCTCTGTATATCTGACTTTCCAATAAAAATAAATAAATCTAAAAAAAAAAAAAGACACGTGCATTTACATACTGAAGTTTCAGCTCAAGTCCCTGCTACCCCACACCTCCTATCCACCTTCCTATTTACGTGCCTGGGAGGGTGCAAACCACGGCCCAGGTACTGAGTTCCTGCCATCCAAGTGGGAGGCCCAGCTGATACACACATTGGTGAGCTTGGTGTAAACATTCCACATCAAATATACATATCATACATCACAGCCCATAAATATATGTAATTACAATGTCAATTAAAAATTAAGAATATAGGGCCTGGCAGCACAGTAGCCTGGTGGCTGAAGTCCTCACCTTACATATGCCAGGATCCCATATGGGTGCCTGTTCTAATCCCAGTGGTCCCACTTCCCATCCAGCTCTTGTGGCCTGGGAAAGCAGATGAGGATGGCTGAAAGCCTTGGGATTCTGCACCCATGTAAGAAACCTGGAAGAGGCTCTGAGCTCCTGGCTTTGGGTCACTTAGCTCTGGACATTGCGGCCACTTGCAGAGTGAATTAATGTACAGAAGACTTTCCTCTCTGTCTCTCCCCTTCTCTATATAGCTCACTTTACAATAAAAATAAATAAATCTTTAAAGTATACATATATACATTAAAATGGTTGGATATTTCTTTATAGTACATCCTATTGTATAAGGAAACCATATTTACAGTATAAATTCTTTAAAATGCTGAGCTAAATGATGTGTGTGTCTACAAAACATACATATTGCTAAACTGCCCTCTGGAGGTTGTACAAATTTACACTCCCAATGATTATGCAAGAGAATTACCTACCATGAACCTCTGCCACGTCTGAGTCATTGAACTTTCCGATCTTTGCCACCACGACAGATCACAGAAAGAATAAAACAAAGCCACAGTGTGGTTTTAACTACCAACTTCTCTACATACAAGAACATATTTTTAAATACTTGAGAATTATCTATATGTACATTTCTGTCAATATTTAATTCATACTACTGGCATTCTTTCACTTGGATTCTGTTCTTTCAACGTTTCAATTTTTAGCTCTTTCTACATCAACCTGCCCCAACCCTGGCTGGATGTTGCCACTTGAGGAGTGAAGCAGCTAATCAAGGAGCCTCTCTCTTCTCCCTCTTCTTCTACGCCATCTCTCTTGCTCTCTGTATAACTCTGCCTTTTAAATAGATAAACAACAGTGCCTAGGCAGTCTCAGGAAACCTGGGGACTTGGGCTGGTGAACAGTGGAGCAGAACAGGCCTGGGAACTCCTGCATGCATTTGGATCCCAGGCTGGCAGGTCAGGGACAGCGGAGTGTTACAATCCCTGGCTGGCATGCTGGCATACTGTGCTGGTGGACTGGGCTTGGGGAACTCATTGACATGCTTTAGTCCCAGATGGCTGGATGCAGGATAGGGTCCCAGACTGGCACTTGCACCGGAGCACTGGATCTGGGGTTCCAGGTGCACAGGCAGGGCTTCAGGCCAGCACCTCACTCCACCAGAAGGTCGGACTAGGGAACCCATGTGTTGGCAGGTGCAGGGGTGGTAGATTGATCAGGGAAGGAGTATAGGATGTGTGGGAGACGGGACCACGGAAGGAGTACATTACAGGTGAGGAATGATGTCTGGGAGACTTCTGCCAACAAGGCCACTGTAGTAACAGGCAAGAAAGGGGTCTGAGACCCAGAGGTCTCAAGGAATGAAACTGAAGGATCATTCTGGGTCAGACCAATTTACCCACCCACATGGGATACCAGAGGTGGGATAGTGAGCATCAAACACTGCCCACCATAACACACAAAAGCTAGGGCTGTGGAGCCTACCTGGCAGGGCTGGACCACAATTTCTGCCAATGAATGTCAGAGCAGGGGATGGTCACATTAGGCTCAGCTGTGACACTAACCAGCATGCAAGAGAACCAGGTCTAGGGGCAGATTCTAAGGGGATGATGTGGGTTCAACCCTGTGAGACTGCAATATCTGCTGATTTGCTCAAGAGATGGGGATGGTGATGGACCAAACTAGGTATAACTGTGGAACTCACCAACACTCATGGGTACTGAGATTAGAAACATGCCAGGCTGGTTTACACTGCAGCACCCGTAGGTGCACCCAAGAATTAGGAGCTGGGTAGGCTGAGCTGTAACATCCACCAGGACACACAAAGGCTGAAACTGGAGGGCGGACTATGCCAGATAAAGGCCTAGCACCTGCTGGCACATGTGAGATCTGGGTTTGGGAGTGGGCAAGTGTAGAATTTGGGGAACTCCCCTGGTAAGCCATAGCTTCCATGGCGAGCATGTGAATCAGGGCTGGGTATTGATCAGGCCAGGCAGGCAAGGCTGCTCCACCTGCCAGGAAGTATGTGGATTGGCTCTGGGGCAGCAGACCAGGCAAGGCTGAGCCAAACAGTAGGACACTGGCATGCACAGGAGCTAGGATGTGATGTGGGCCATACTAGACTAGGCTATCATACCCACTGGTTTGCATGAAAGCCAGGGATGAGAACAGACTAGCCAGGAATATGCTGCAGCACCCACCAGGCTGAGTTGGGACTGGGGGCTGAGCAGGAACACCAAAATCAACAATACCTCAGAACTACTGAAACCACTTGTGCAGTCCCCTCAGAATGCACTCCACATCAGGGACCCTGGGATGACACTGAGTGTTCATCCCATAACCCCAGGTACTGATGCAGTTAGGCTGTTGGAAGCAATCCTTCCATCATTCCTTCAGATACAGGTAGAAAAGAAAAATTGTCTCATCCACTTTCCCCCATTCCTCAATCCTTCCCACCCTAAACAGTGGTCCACATAGGCATCCATCCTTTTCAACTAAATAAACACCAAAAACTAAATTTAATTTAAAAATAAGTAAGTAATAAAAAGAGTAAGTGGATTGCGTACTTTTAATATCACTTTTCCCATTGTTAACTATGGTTTAGCACCAACAAACTTCATGTGGAGGTTTGATCCCAAAGTAATTGTGTTGGGAGGCAAGGAAATCTGGAAGCACGAGGATATGGGTAAACGGGAGAGGCACTTTTCACACAACAGCTTGGATAAGTGGATGGCTTCATGGTAAAACCTGGCACCTCTCCACTCTCTGCCTCAGAATAATACCTGCCTGCCTTATAGTAATGCCTGTTCAGCACTTGCATGCACTGGAGCCAAGTAATGCCATCTACCCTACTAGGACGCAGCACAAGGCCCTCCCCAAAGGCAGTCACTGGCCTTCAGCCTCCAGGATTTTGAGCAAACTAAGCTCCCTTTGTTACACATTACCCAGTAGGAACTATTACATAATGAGAAAAGAAACACGACTCACACTGCAGCTGGAGGGCTGCTTCAGTAGCTGTGGCCTTTCCACATTCCACAGTGTGTGTTTTACTCTGTGTGGAAGTATTCTGTCTCTCTTTGCTTACTGGAGACCTGCAGTTCATTTTCTAGTGACTATAAGTAAGAAAAATGCAAAATCCTTACTAATGTATAAATTCAGTAATGTTAAAATAGAAAATTAAGGATCCACTGCAATGTTCCAGTGGCTAAATCCTTGCCTTGCATGCACCAGGACACTACGCAGGCACTACTTCACATTCTGCCTGATCCACTTCCCATTTTAGCTCTCTGCTTGTGGCCTGGGAGAGCACTGGAGGATGGCCCAAAGCTGTGGGACCCTGTACCCACCTGGGTGACCCAGAAAAAGCTCCTGGCTTCAGATCTGCTCAGCTCTAAACACTATAGCTGCTTGGGGAGTGAGCCAGTGAACAGATGTTTATTCTCTCTATAAATCAGCTTTCCAATGGAAAAAAAAAATTAACTCTTTAAAAAAAAAAGAACGAAGTCAAAGAGAAATTTTTTTAAAATGCTATTGCAAGAATGTAACCTAACAGAATACAGTATGACTTTCTTTTTTGTAAACACAAATAGGGTCTACCAATGCTTAAAACTTTCTAAAATTATTGCTGAAGTACAACCTCCCTATGCCTCCAGTGCTCTTTCTTTCACTGTCAAAGACAATCTAAGACTGACACCACGACATTTGGGGCTAAGCCTCTGCCTGCAGCACCAGCTTCTTATAAGGGCAGCAGTGAATGTCCCAGCTGTTCCACTTCCCATCCAGCTCCCTACTTGGGGCCTGGAAAGGAAGCAGAAGATGGTGCAAGTCCTCGGCCCCCTCACCCAGGTGGGCAACTTAGAGAAAACTCCTGGCTTCTGGCTTCAGATCTGCCCAGTTCCAGACATGGATGCCATTTGGGGAGTAAACCAGCAGAATGTAGAATTCTGCCTCTCTTCTCTAGGTAACTGTGTCTTTCAAATGAAAATAAAATGAATCTTTTTAAAAATGCTCCTTTGTTACATCTGTGTTAATGTCTTAAAAAACGAGAGAGCAAGTATACTGTCAAGTATATATCAGGCATTGTGCTAAACACTAAGAAAGGAAACCTAGAAGTTTTTAATTTGGGAACTTCTTATTTTGCTCCAGTCCCAGATGAACTACTAAGTCAGTTACAAAAGGTGACATTGCAGCTCTTCATGTGGTAGCTGGTATTTATCTCCCATTTGCAGCACTAGGAGAGAAACGAGGTTCACAGAGGTCCAGGGGCTTGCCAAGGGCGCACAGCTACCCTGGCTATGCTGCGAGAACAGCACACCTCCTGCAATCCAGGCTCCGCGCGTCAGGACAGGGCTGCAAGCTAGGTAACAGGCTTCCCACTGCTGCACTGTCCAGGGAAGCCTGCAGCTGGCCCCGCCCTCGCCCTCCGCCCACCCCTCTGTCCCTCCCCGCGGCCCTGCCAACCCAGCCCAGTTTTTCCTGACTGCGGCTGCGCAGCAACAATGAGGTCAGTCTCACAGGCAGGGCGGAAGCAGGGGGTGGAACCTGCTGCTCTCTTAGGGAACGTCCTGAAAACGACTCCTTCGGACCTGCTCTAGCTTCGTTTTGACTTTTGGAAAAGCCAAGGCCACTGGAAACGGCATGGGGTCCCTGCCGCGCACCCTGGAACTCTTCTACGACGTGCTGTCCCCCTACTCCTGGCTGGGCTTCGAGGTGACAGAGGAAGCTGCTGGGGCAAGGCCTGGAGGGAGAGGGCACAGGGACAGGCTTTTCCTGAAATTCCTGCCGCTGCTCCCAACTTAGAGCCAGGGAGCACACGCTGACAGTGAAAGTGCTTTACGCTGTTGCGCACGGGAAGCCCGGTTCCCGAGATTCGCCCTTATGTTGCAGCTTCACAAAGTGGTTTGTGAATAAGTCAGGGCAATTCCTAAGAATCTTGAACTCCACAACCACTTGTCTTCACTGTCAACAATGGGGTGTAAGACGTAAAAGGGGCTGGAAAACGTCCACTGGGGCCATGATCCTGGAGTCCCTTTCCAGCAGTGGACAGAAGGTTGCGTTTCTAGTCAGGACACAGCTCAGCACCTAGCCACTCTGTCTCATTGGCTGCCGACAACAGCTCTTCAATTCTTGCATCTTACACACAGGCTCTTCTTGCTCCCTGCTCTGCTAGGTCCTGTGCCGGTATCAGCACATCTGGAACGTCAAGCTGCAGTTGCGGCCCAGCCTCCTTGGAGGAATCATGAAAGACAGCGGTAAGAAGGGAGAAGCCTTTGGGGCAGACAGGCCTGGGGGAGGACCATCTCAGTGGCCCAGGAAAGCCCTCTCTTTGTACTGACACTTGCAGCTAGTCATCTGTCAAGAGCCCAAGACCGGGATAGGGTGGCCCACACCTGTCAGCATGTTGTCTAATTGTCCACTGCCAGGAAACCTGCCTCCACAAATACCCCGCAAATTGCAGTACCTTAGAAGTGACCTTCAGCTCCTGCGGCAGCACTTCCAGGTTCCCATGCAATTCCCGAAGGATTTCTCTGAGATTGTTAGAAAAGGTAAACAGGGTGGGATGCATATTGGGAATCAAATTGAGGGCAGAGAAGTCAGACAGTGAAGTGCAGAGAAAAGGGGCCTGGGAGACTACCTTAAGGGGTAGGTTTGGGAAACCTCAGGATACGGATAGTGTAGGACGAAGGGAAACCGAGGCAGGGAAGAGGACAGATTGATCAGGGAACTTTGGTGAGAGGTCCAGGGGACAGAGTCTGGGAAAATGTCAAAGTAGGGCTGGGGCATTCCTCCAGCAGAACACAGGCAGTGGGTCTTCACACCGAATGGCTTTATTGCACAGGAAGCGTATCTGCCATGCGATTCGTCACTGCCACAAACATGGAACGGCCAGAGATGCTGACAAACGTATCCAGGGAATTGTGGATGCGAGCCTGGTCACGGGTAAAGGCTTAGCCCTGGGACCCATCAGGGGAATGGGTATCTGAGCCTCGCCGGGACTGCTCACACCATGTTCCTGCTGAGTGTGCTCTTCTTCCCAGGATGAAGATATCACACAGCCGCAGAGCATCCTGGCGGTGAGTGTCCCAGCCACACACTCACTGCTGTCACTAGATTTTAGGTCTCTCAATTTTTCCCATGCCACTTTTAGGGGGAAAGAATCCCCACAAATAGACTCGAGAATGCCGCCAAGGAAATCACAGTTATCTTGAAAGAAAGCATGAATGTGTTTGAGACAAGAAAATACTGAAAAGCTGTAACTCACAGAATTCTCAAAAGAATAGTTCATGATTGAAAAGGGAGGTGAAAAACTGAACAATGCATTCGTAGGATTTATCTGATGCAAGAAGATAAGAGAGGTGACAAACAATAGAAGCTGCAGAGGGGGTGAGATGGAGAATTCATGAGTGTCCACAGTCACCAGTCAAATCTCACACCCACATGCAGACTGGAAAGCTGGAGACTTAAAAAAAGAGATAACTGAATGCTGCCAGAAGAGGGCAGAGGCTGAGCCTGAACACATGGAGAGAGCTCTGAATATATACCTGTTTACCTGCTAAGACAGGAGCTTCAAAGGTGGGTTTTCCTTTGGGTTTAAGTCAGGGAGCGCATTATTTTTTTCTCTAGTACGGAAAATTTGAGACATACTGAGTTTCCATATATAAAAGGACAGATCACACAAAAGCTAAATGAACAGAAACTGGCTAACACACCTTCTAGTATCTGTATTCCTGCAAAGTATTTATGTGATATTTTGGCCTGTTTCTTGCTTCCTATTTAACCCATCATTTCCCTGGCTACTTTTAACTTTTTGAAATAAAAGTTCTCCACATCCGTATGGCCTTTCATGCGACCATTCCCTTTGTTTCCCTATAACCATTCCACCTACTCACTGCAGAACATTTGCTCCAGCACACCATCTCTCATTTAGGCAGGCCAGGTCAGTGTCTCATTAAAATGGACAACTTGACTGTGTGGGATCACTCAAGGTCCACGAGCTCTGTTTGCTCTAGCTGTACATTAGCATCAACTGGACAATTTCATTCTCCCCACTGCCCCCTGCCACCTGCCAAGAAATACGGATATAATATTTTTAGGGGAAGACAGCACAGTGGGATTTTCAAAACCGCCACAGGAGATTTTCATGGCCAGGCAAGACTGAGAACTTTTGAGTTAGCAACAACCCCTAACCGAGGCCTCTGTCATTCTCTTGAAGCTGGGCAGGTAGCTGCAGACATGAGCCTCAGTAAGAAGTCCCAGGATGTCGCCTGGAATTAGAGCCTAGCCCTTGATTCACATCAGCAGGAGAGATCCAGAATTCTGAAAACAGGAAGCCAAATGCCCCAGACATGAATTCTAGGAGCCTGCATTCTACCATTGGCTCTGCACAAGACAGGCTCTGCTGTACCTCTGAACAAGGAATGTGTCCCCTCCCACTGTAGCCTCCTGTGTCATGAAGGGAAGACATCAGGCTAAGCTGGTCCCCAAGATGCCCCAGTAGTGTAGGTAGTGACAGGGTACCCTCCCTCTGCTCTTTCCATTCCATCTTGAGATCTGGAACAAAGGAACAAACCCTCATTCGCAAGTACACAAAATGATTGCCAGGCACTCCTGGGTGTAAAAGATGGGAACCCTAGAGTTCTCTGGAGTTTGCAGCCCCCTCCACACTGACAGCCTTGTCCTCCTCCCACCTCCCCGCAGGCTGCAGAGAAGGCTGGTATGTCTGCAGAAGACGCCCGAGCACTGCTCGAGAAGATCTCCACACCACAGGTGAAGAACCAACTCAGGGAGACCACGGAGGCAGCCTGCAAGTATGGGGTGAGCAGCTCTTGGTGTTTCTTCCAAACCCACAGCCCAAACATGGACTGAGTGTGTTCCCTGCTGCTGTTCAAAAGCCCCCTACCCATCCTGAGTCTCCTAAGTCTCCCAGATGACCTTGTCTTCTCCCTTGGTAAAGGAAGGGAAGGAGACAGACGGTGAAGGAAAGCATAAAGCACCTGAGACTTAGAAACACAAGTCATGCCTCAATGTATTATGGAATCTGTTGTCAGACACCTCTGTGTGCTTTGCTTCTGCATGCCTACCAAGTGTTCTCAGGAAGCCTTCCACGCCAGCCCTGTAACACCTGCTCCATCATCTTCCTCCCTGAACTTTAACTGCTTCCTCCAGGCCTTTGGACTGCCCATCGTCGTGGCGCACATAGATGGCAAGACACACATGCTATTTGGCTCTGACCACATGGAGCTTCTGGCTCACTTACTGGGTATGTTAAATATTCCATAGTGAGCTACCTGTGATCCCATCCTTAGCCTTGTTATTTCATTTGATCTAAAGTGGGAAGAACAATAAAAAGGGAGCATGGCCATCCCAACAGCACAGCCTTGTACAGACAGTGCTTCTGAATGTGAGTGGGGAGGCCACATAGCCCTCAAGCCCAGCCAAGAAAAGGAGGGTTTCTTGCCCTTTCCACCAAGCAGGGCTCTTCCTGGAAAACCCATTGTTCCCTGTGGGCCCCTGTGTGCTGCCCTCAACTCAGCTAAGAATCATGTGTGGACATGTGTTAATTTCTTGTTCCAGGAGAGAAATGGATGGGCCCTGCGCCCCCAGCTCTGAATGCCAGACTTTGAGACTGCCTGATGGGAGCTGTCGATCATTCAAAAGAGCAGGCCTGTGCTTAGTCCCTTTTTCACTGCGTTGCCTAGCTGAAAGAATTTAGCCCATGTCCCTGCCAAGGTGTGATCCTCTCCGCCCTCCTGAACGCCAAGAAGGGCATCATTCCAATTGCAGTCTTTATGGGAACTGCATGGTTGTTCTGCAGAGAATTAAAAATAGAGCTACTGTATGATTTACTTTTGAATACTTATGCAAGAGTTGTTAAATCCAGAAGCATGAAAAAGATCTCTGCACTCTTGTGATCATCATAAAATCATAGTTACAACAGGCGAATGGTGGAGATAGCTTAAATGTCTGCCTGTCCATGAATGGTAAAGACAAAATGCATATACTTCTGGCAAGAGTTTCACAATTTGGGGAGGATGTTATAGGTATTGTAGCATAGCAGTTAAACCTGCTTCCTGCCACACTGGTGTCCCATGTGGTCCCCAGTTCACATCTGGGATGCCCTCATCTGATCTAACTCCTACTAATGTGCATGGGTGGCCCCCGAAGATACCTGAAGTTCTTAAGCTCCCTTACCCCAAGCTCCTTCAGTCCTGGAATGAAGCTCCTAGGTCTTGGCTCCAATCTGGACCAGCCCTGACTGATGTGGCCATTTGGGGAGTGAACAAGTCAATGAAAGATATCTCTCTATCTCTCTGTGTAACTCTTCCTTTCAAGTAAATAAAATTATCCTCAAAACAAAGTGTTTTTTTCTGTACCATGATAAAATTATCTTTTAATCTATTTTCCAATTATAAGTTTAATACTCTTCAACCCAACACACTTTTTCATTTGTAACAATATGATGAATCTAGTGACATTATTTTAATTGAAAGATACTGAAATGCATATATCATAAGGTCTCATTTACATGTACCATCTAAAAAAGTAAAACTTAAGGACCAGCACCATGGAATAGTAGCATCACATATGGGTACCAGTTCACATACCAGCTATTCTACTTCTAATCCAGCTCCCTGCAAATGGCCTAGCAAAGCGGGAAGATGACTCAAGTCTTTGGGACCCTGCATCCACATAGGAGATCCAGAGGTGGCTCCTGGCTCCCTGGATAGGCTCAGCTTTGGTTACTATCGTCATGTTAAAAAAGTAGAATTTAACATAAAAAGCATAATGTGATTTAAGCACTGATTTGTGGTAGCAATAAGCAACATACTGACTAAAGCAAGTATTGTTTCTATTAGAAAGAATACATTTGAGAGCTCTGTTGCATATCATTGTGACTATAGTTAATGTCTATTTTTAAATTACCAAAAAATAGCTTTTGAATATTTGTATTATGTAAAGATGACATGTAAATGAGGTTTAGAGTGAAAGTACAAGTTCCACGTGGAAGACAAGATTTGGGAGCCCCTTATTCATCATGTCCTTTCTCCAAGGAGTCAAAGCCCTTCAATCAGCTATTCCTAGGTGCAAGTACAGGTGAGTGACAGAGACCCAAGAGGAAGGAAGGGGTAGAGCAATGCTGGAAAGCTGCTGTCTCACACTGTTAACTCTGCAGAGTCTGAGGAAACCTAAACCACTTGGCTTTGAACAGATAACTCTGCTTATAATCTCAGCCCTTGACGGGCTCTAGCTGGTACCAATCTAGAAAAGACTAGAAAAAGAATGTTTGGAGCAGGAAAAGGGAATTATGGGAGGACCAAAGAGGCATCAGGTTTTGAGTCATTAAATGAGTCTCCACGCATTACCCTTAAATGATATGATATGTATTGACTGCCTGTTCCTTGCGTAATACCGAGATATATGCAAAAGGTATATGAGCCAGCCCTATTCTTCCCTGACTCACTTCCAGTTCCCAGCCTGCCCAGCTCTCCATCTCCCTTGAACACCTGGAGCACTTTGCACCTTGGTCACCCTGTACTTTTCTTCCAAATAGTTGTGTCTGTCTTTCTTTTTGGCATGTGCTTCCTGTCTGCCCTGTTGTTACATACACCTTACAGTATCCCCATAGCAAGCAGAGGGTTAACAGCTTGTTGCATCTAAACTGGGTAACTCACTTCCTCAGAGTGTAAGGAAGCAGGCACTCCTGCAGTGTGAGATGGGGTGTGAATTTTAAGAATCTCTTTGGGCTATTTTGACAGTATCTATCAAAAAGTCACTTGGCCACTGGTTTATGTGAGTGCCGAGTGTGTGCTGGGCAGAATCAGGCTGGACTGCAACACCCATTGGTTCCAGTGGAAGACAAGGCTGGAAACAGAACCGACCCAGCAATTGCAACCACCAGCTGATTGGGGTGATGGGCTGTACCGGACCCTGTACTTGCAAGTACACACAAGAATCTGGACTGGCATCACCTCAGACAAAGTTTCTTTTGGGATCTCCCCAATCGAACTACCAGACTCAGAACCCATGGTCTGCCAAGGAGTGCAAGTGCCAGAGCTGAGCCTCCTCAGAGGCTCAGACAGGGCAGTGGAGAGCATAACCAGCTGTACATGGAGGATATGGCAGTCTATCAGAACCTGCAGAGGACACCTGGCACCACAACAGAGGACAGAACAAATCAATCAACTACCCCAGCCATATGTTGGCAGTGAAAAACTGGGCAAACGGAGACTCTAAGGTGGACTATGTCAATCAGCAATTCTGCAGCGACTTCATTGTGCTTGGAATGGTGAGACTGGCAGCAGTTCATAACTACTGAACTATCAAAACCACTTGAGCAAGACCCTCGGAGCATGCCCCACATCAGGGACCTGGGATGGGTGGGAGACTGGGTGGAGATTCTCTCTTTATCTCCCCCTTTACCCCAGAAACAGGAAAAAAAAACAATGTGGAAATAATAGTCTTACCCACTTTCCTGTAGCCCTAATTAATTATGTAAAGATTGTCAAAAATAAAGGGGAAAAAAAAGCCAACCTTAAAAAAAAAAGTCACTTGGGAGAAACTTTCTTCTTTATATATGCAAATAAGGCTACATACAGCAAAATATTAACTGCAAAATCCTGAATATAACCTACTTGGTTATCAGTTAGAAAATCATCACATGAATAATTGCCCCATAAAATGGAATAACATTAAATATAATCATATAAAGACATTTTAAAGAACATCATTAATGGAAACATATAGCAATATTTGTTTATGAGAATTGGAAGGGATGAGGGAACTTTCTGGATGATAGTAATGCTTTGTGTTCTAATTGGAGTTTGGGGCTACAGCAGTTTTTATCAAAACACACAGAAATGGTCTACTTAAAATGTATGTTTCATTGAAGGAAGCTTGTCTATCAAAAGAGAAAAGTTAACTCTAAAGTACTGAACTGTGATTACTATTCTACAGACTGAAGTATTTAAAAAGAAGTTTGATCCCTCCAGCTGTGAAATGTATCCAAAATTAAGTTATATTGATGTATATAAAGGATAAATGAAAAGGCATTTGATAAGCCAAGTAGAGTATAATATTAAATGTCAAATCTCGGTGATGTTTACATGGGTATTCACTATTAAACTGTTGCTATGCTTTTTAATAATTCATCATAAAATGATCTGTATATGTTGATCCATTCATATTCATAAGGAAGAATCTCCAACTTAACATTGTTAAGTGGCAAAAGCAAAATGTAAAGGCGTATCTATGGCATGTTCCCAAATGCATACTAGCCTACAGGTGTTCTGAATATTCATTGTCTCTCTGGGACAGGGATGAAGATTCATTTATTTTTATTTCAAAGGCAGATTTACAAATGGAAGGAGAGAGAGAGATCTTTTTTCATCCACTCACTCCAGCTGGAGTTTAGCCAATCCAAAGCCAGGATCATCCTCCAGTTCTCCCCTGTGGGTCCAGAGCCTAAGGACGTGAACCAGCCTCCATTGATGTCCAGGGAGCCAGGACATAGATTGGTGTCCATATGGGATGTCGGGGCTACAGGTGGAAGACTAGTATCAAATGACACCACACCAGCCTTCTTTAACTGTTCATTTTTATATTGTGAATGTAGATTATTTGTAAGTGACTAACATATTTTAGTAACCTATACCTTTAATTTTGGTGGGTTTTGTTGTTGTTAATTTCCACACATGGTACCATCTTTCGCAGGGGTGTTTCATCTCTCTACCCACATCCTAAAACCAAGGAAACCAATTTCAAATCTGTTACCTCTCCCAGGCAAATGCCCTAACGAGTTTCGCCTAGCATCATGTAGAAGGCACAAACCAATGCTCCTCTCTTAGTCTAGTGATAAAACACTAAAGGAACTGGCCTTGTCTGTCTTTCTCTGGTTCAAATTCACAGTATACCTCCAGCCACCATTCTGCACCTGGTAATACCTGGCTCACACCCAGCCAGAGCAGCTCCTGGATCCCCACAGGATATCATGAGGCCCACTGAAAGGATAACCTCCTTACAAAAGCATCAACTCTATTGAATGAGCACCCACTGCAGGTGCAGACCGATGTTGTTTTTGGAGATTCACGGATGATTAGTCACTCAAAGCTCAACAGGAAGGCGCTGTAGGAGTGAGTAGCTAAAGGCTGTGCAGATGTAGACAGGAATGCTGTGGTTATCTGCAGAGACAGGCTCTGAGCAACCAGCACAGGAATGGATTTTAAAGAATCAAGAGTAAACCAAGCCAAGAAGCATACCCAGCAGCAACCCTGCAGGGCCGGAGTCCATATCACTCTAGGATAGCAGAGGACAGGCACGGCTCTGCCATACTGTGGATCACTGTGTGCCTAACACTGTGTGGTCTACAGATTAGATAAGCCACAGTCTGCTTACAGTCACTGGAGAGAGTCAGATGGGAAACAACTGAGCCAAATAGGATGCAAACTGCTCAGGGCTGTGACTAACATCCCAGTGCATCCAGAAGGGAGAGGGAAAGGTTAATTCTGGTCCTAAGAACAAAGGTCACTGGGAGTTGGGGCAGTGGGGGACGGGAGGGTTGGTTCTCATTAGGGCACAGTATGGATGGGTGGAGTGAGTAAAACCTGAGGGAAAAATCTAGGTGGGGCAGCAGTACAGGACGTCAGCCTTGGGCAGGTCAGGGAGGAGAAAGACCGGGCAGGAACTGAAGGACAGGGCCAGGAGACAGGGCGGGGCCAATAGGCTCCACCTCCTCCCTTCTGCCCACTCCCCCTACAACCTGCTCTCTGCAGAGTCTGCGACACAGGTGAGTAAGGAACTCCACAGAGGGCAGAAGGGCCATGGAATTGGGGCCGGGATGTGAGTAGGGGATCTGTGACTCCTGGTCTGTGGGGTTCAGAGAAGTCCTGACAGAGGGACAACCTCTGTTTGAGGGGAGGGGCTGCCTCAGGGCTGCTATGTTTTAGAGAAATGCTTCCCTTCCTAGCCTTGTATTCATTCCTGGCAGGAAACTTGAAACCTGAGTTTTGTGAGTTAGGTTCACAGCGAGTGGGGGGAGCCCGGTGGTCCGGGGAACGGCAGAGGGCAGGAGTTACCAGGGCCTCTAGCCTTAGCCACAGACTGCTGTCTGTGAAACTCTTCCTCACACAGCTGTGTCCTGTGTGCATGATCTGTCTCCAGTGAGGGCGTGTACAATCAGAGGACCGTACAGGAAAGGAGCAGACAGACTCAGAAAGGGCCTGTGCTGCTGCGTGCCCTTCTGTCCCCGGCAGGGTCAGGCTGAGGGCCTCTGCCTGAGAGGTAGGAGCCATCATGGAGAAAAGGCAGGGCCCGCCCCATCCCCTGGATTCCAAGGATGCCGGTGTGCACTGAGGTCCCGGCAAGGGCCTTCCCGGGACTGGCTCCTGGACGGTGTCCTAGAGGAATGGAGCCAGAAGGGAAGAAAACAGGAAGAGAGCCCGAGCTGTGATACAAGAAACACACCTGACGGCTGGCAGAGAAAACACCTGGGCTGGCTTTCTGGCCATTCTACATCACTGCTATCTAGAGACAGAAAGAGCTGGCTAGACCTCTGCAGTAATGCAGGTGACTTAGGATGGAAGAACCTGAAAACCAAAGGAAGAGAGTAGTATATTTACCTTGTTAGCAGATGTAGAGGTGATGCCAACTGGTTCAGACACGACAGCTGTGTCTCTTTTTGCAGGAGCCCGGGGAGGGGCCATGGTGCCAAGCCAGTTGTGGGGGAGACTGGAGAAGCCGCTCCTCTTCCTGTGCTGCGCCTCCCTCCTCCTGGGGCTGGCTTTGCTGGGCGTTCGGCCGGACATCGCCCCAGTGGCTTATTTCTTTTTCATCCTGAGCGGCTTATTTTTGTGTGCCTGCCTCCTGTCCTGCTTTCTGGAAGGGGGGTTCCGATCAGTAGAGACAGAGAGCCCAGGGGCCTCAGGCAATGCACGGTGAGTTGAGGGACGCACATCTTGGGCTCATCCCGTGTACTCCTCTATTCCTCCAGGTCATACCATCTACTTGCTTCTGTCACTGGTATCCATGAGAGGTGGGATCAGCGGCTGATGACCTTTTGTGGGTGGCAGGCATGAAAAAGAGGGGAAAAAAAGACTCCTTTCAGGGAGACACCCATGACCTGATTTCTCCTCTCTTAGGGACAATGAAGCCTTTGAGGTGCCGACCTATGAAGAAGCCGTGGTGGGATCACAGCCCCACCCCCAAGAACAGGATCAACCACCCCCTTACAGCAGCATTGAAATCCCCCCAGGACTTGAAGGGGGACAGCCCGGCCACCAAGAGGAGAACAGCAGGGACAGACTGAGAAGGCGAGTGGGCTCGGAGGGATCCATGACGCAGAGAGCTAACCCGGGGAGAACTCCACTCAGTCTCCGGCTCCGGGGAGCACGGGTCGTGTCCACAGCCCCCGATCTGCAGAGCTTGCGGGAACTCCCCAAAACAGAGCCTCTGACTCCACCCCCTGCCTACGAGGTCTGCTTTGGTCCCCCCGAGGACGACAACGTCTTCTATGAAGACAACTGGACACTACCCTAAATGACTCTCCCGGCACCGATCATCTCTCCACAGCAGACCTGCTCACGCACGCAGTCAGCATTTCCTCATGCCTGCTGTGTGTCAGGAACTGTGCTACTGTCTGGACACCGCAAATGGGGACTTGAACCCAGAGGGGTGTGAGGCGACGGTAAGCCCTTCCCGTTTGGGATGAGGAGTTTTCTGGAAACATTCGGTGACCTACCCCTGTGTCCAGTATTTCCACAAGATGGTGAGATGGGGAGGTGATTCAGAGAGAGGAGGAAGTGACATCTGAGTGACAAAATACATTGTTTTTATTGCAGGTGTTTTAGCTCTATTAGATTCCTCGCAAGGTATTACTCTCAGCGTTCCGAAGCTGAGACGGGTTCGATTACTTGCACAAAGGTGCACTGGTAATTAATATAAAAAAAAAAAAACTTGAACTTGTGATTCTGAAGCCTGTTGTGTTTTCAGCACAAGGTAACCTGGAGGTCAGGTCAGCTCTCTCAGTCTATCTTGGGAGAAGCACTGACAGGGGCTGGGAGATTTTATATATAGATACAAGGGGCAGGGTGGGCTAACATGACTGGGAATACTCCACCAAAGTGAATCGAAGCGCTAATGGGCCCACCTTCGGAAGGGTGGTGGCTCAGGTATCACTCGAGCTCCTGCTTAGCGGCCAAAGAACAGTCCCCCATTGGGTCTGAAAGCCATGGAATGAGTGGGGTTTCCAGTTTGACAAAGGATGGAGGTGAGCGATAGAAAAATAATAATAATTTTTAGAGAAGCTCGAGGGGTTAGTATCCAAGGAAACTACTGTCTCTTGACTCATCTCGGTTAAAACTCCCGGGTCACTAATCCCGTTAGCGCATCCCTACTGTTACCTCAGGCCCCTGCCCTGCTTCTTCAGTTCCCAGTAAGGACACCAGGCTTTCCAGGCTGCGGCTGTGCTGCAGGTTTTGCTCATTGGGAGCGATTATCCTATCACTAACCCCACACTGCACGCAGGCCTTCATTGCGCGGGCGTTCTCTCCGTGTTCTCCGCCCTCCGGACTTAAACATTTCAATAAAGCGAGATCTACGACCGTCCTTGCCCGGTGAAGTCATTGCACTAGGCGGAGCAGAACAGGTGGGCGGCACCAGGGGGGAGGAGGGCCATACTTTCCGCGGGAACTTGGAGCCAATCGGACTGGCAGGTCGGACGCGGCCTCGCTCTTTCCCCGCCTCTTCCCTTTCCGCCGAGAGCCTCAATCTCGTCCCATTGGACAGCACGGTCCGACGTCCGCGGGCGCTCGGGGCCGGCTAGGGGCGTAGACGGCCTGGGGTCGGGGAGGATCTGCGCGGTTGTAGGGCGCAGGCGCGGGGTGCGTCTGCGGCCGGGGGAGGGATGCGGAGGACGCGACGGCGATCTGGGGTTTGTTTGGGTTGTGGGTGGTACGTGCACAGCGAGGTAAAAGCGGGAAATGGCGGCGCCGAGCGCGGGGTTCCGGCCCAGCCTGCAGCAAAAGGGGCTAATGGCTGCTGACAGGGGGCGCAGGTAAGTGGGGAAGGGTCTCAGGGGGCGTTGGTGGGGCCCAAGAAAGGAGATTGTGTGTGCCAGGGTGCCCCCAAGGTCGCCCGCTCCCCTCGGAGCCGCTCCAGACAGCCGTGCCTGGGGTTTGGAGGTTCAGCCAAGACACCCCAAACCTCTGCGAGCCTGACCCATTGCGGGGGGCTCGTGCCGGGCCTCCTTGGCCTTGTCATTCATGGGGAAGGATTCCCAGCCTCTTTGTCCAGCCCAGTGGGGCTCTGAGTAAGATAACTACTCCCGCTGCAGCATCTCGCTTTCTGCTTTGCTTAGATCCTCCATCCTTCCTCCCGGGAATGTACCCTCTCTTGCACAGAACCAGTGAGACTCTGCGGTGCTCACCCTCTGTTGCCTTTGGTTTGGAATCACTGCTTTCCCTTGCATGTGATGAGCGGAGAAGTTAACACTGCCCCCGGGGGTGAGGTACTTGGATACGACAAGGAGATTGCAGTGGCTTCCAGTATGACTTCCATGCCCCGAAGTCTTTGTGTCGCGGGCCAGACATCACCCGGGAGAACAAATTTGAATGCCTCCTGGTCCATCCCGGACAGAATAACACGGGACATTGATCCAAGGACCTTGAGAAGGATACAGACCCAAGAATTCAAAATTCTCTTGATGTTCATTTTCTGCATTCCCCCTCCCTCAAATTTTGGATGATTAGACGCTACTGGAAAGTTAAAATGTAAGACACTGTTCCTAGTACCAGTGGAAGGAGCAGGAGTGCAGAGAGATGATTCTTCAGCTTAAATCTAAGCAGCGTTGTTTCAAAATTCAAGTTAGCTGGGAATGAGTTCTGTGTAAGGAAGAGGTTGGGGGCTTTTTAAGGGGTGCTGTGGAAACCAGAAACGTTTTAAGGAGAGAATGCTGCTGGTAAACTGAAGTAGGAATCTGCCCCACCATTGGTGACGTGTGTCTCCGTTAGTGCTTTGATGTGTTTTAAGGTGATTTATAAGTGAGAGTTTTGTTTTTGTAGATGTTGTTGTCCTAGGTAAGTAGGGGTGTTACTTCCTCTATGTTAGGATCCCATTGGCTGTCTTCTTGGGTCTCAGTTCCTCTAAAACCTTGCTTTCCCCCTGCACATCCTTTAATTACTTCCCTAAGCCAGCCCTCCTGGGGATGCATGCTTTTCCTCCCCCATTATAATGTCTGTGAAAATAGGCTTTAACTGTACAAACTGGATCTGTTATATTCCTTTCTCATTTGCTTTAAGCATATGAATGGTTTCAAGTCATATTGGTCCTGTTTATCATTGGCATTTATCTCTTCTAATTCTGTCTTTTGTTTGTTTGTTTATCCATATGTGAAAAAATCTTTGTTATTTTTCCTACCATTTTGCCACAGAAACTTAAAGCTTTTAAGGTATTCATGTAAGTAGGTAAGAGTATGTAGCTTTTTGGTAAGCCTGGCCATTGGCTTGAGTGTCAGTTATTGGATCCAGTGTTCCTTGCTCAAGATGCTGTAAGGTTTTATACATCAATTTCAGTAACTTCTGTGAATAAAGATACTTAAGCTCCACTATGCTTGGTACACCTTTGTTTTTTTTTTTTTTAAGATTTATTTATTTTTATTGGAAAGGCAAATATACAGAGAGAAGGAGAGACAGAGAGGAAGATCTTCCATCCGATCATTCACTCCTCAAATGACTCCGAAGCCAGGAGACAGGAGCTCTTGCGGGTCTCCCACGCAGGTGCAGGATCTCAAAGCTTTGAACCATCCTCGACTGCTTTCCCAGGCCACAAGCACAGAGCTGGATGGGAAGCAGGGCTGCTGGGATTAGAACCTGCATCCATATGGGATCCTTGCACGTTTCAAGGCAAGGACTTTAACCTTCAGGCCGCCACACCAGGCCCACCACTTTGATTTTTAACCAGATTCAATAGAATATAGGTACTCTTGGTATTATTCTTGATTTTCCTACCCATGCCACTCTTGTGCCACAGCTTGTGTTTAATGGCTTTGCCTTCTACCTTCTGCCTGTAGGGTACTGCCAGTGTGTGGCATGCACCCCGACCATCAGGAAACTCTGAAGAGGAATCGAGTGGTGCTGGCCAAGCAGCTGTTGCTGAGTGAGCTGTTGGAACATCTCCTGGAGAAGGACATCATCACACTGGAAATGAGGGAGCTCATCCAGGTACCTGGAAGCAGGAGAGATGATTCAGGATGCTAACTTGATCTTCAGGGTAGGAACAGAACGTGGGGAAGGGCAGGAAGGAGGTGTTGCTTTTCTAGGGAAATGGAAATGCACTTGACAAAATGTGAAATCACTCATAGAGACTTTTGTATACAGAATCCTTTGTAAGACAAGGGTATTATTAGGCCGCTTATGTAAAGAAATAGAATTGTAGCTAGATAATAAATATGACTTCATGTATTATTCTTATATCTTAGGCAAAAGTGGGCAATTTCAGCCAAAATGTGGAACTCCTCAACTTGCTGCCCAAGAGGGGTCCGCAGGCGTTTGATGCCTTCTGTGTGGCGCTGAGGGAGACCAAGCAGGGGCACCTGGAGGATCTGTTGCTCACCACTCTGTCTGGCCTTCAGTGTGCACACCCACCGGTATGGAGCCCCAGAAATGCGTCTTGGGAAGGGTTAATGTGGCTGAGAAGACGTTTGTGAGTGCAGGAGTTGGTGGCCTGGGTTGTGTTTTGTTTGGACTGAGCCCTCTCGCTAGGGTCTGTCATGGTGAGTCCCGATTTCTTCACAGTTGAGCTGTGACTACGACTTGAGTCTTGCCTTTCCCGTGTGTGAGTCCTGCTCCCCTTGCAAACAGCTCCGCCTGTCAACAGGTGAGAATTGTGGGATAAAAGAGACCTTCCTTTTTTTTTTACTTGGTTTTGCCCTGAGATGTTTTATAAGGGGAGTAATTCAGTTAGTTTACACAGGGCCAATTTCCCTTTCGTAATTGATAACACTCTTGATGGTGACTGGCCCTTTGAGCAACTTACACAGGTAGGAAGTTCCTACTCATGACCAGCCTGTCTTCTCTATATAACTGAGGAAAGGCTATATTCAAGGCTACTGGCGTAGCTGAGAAGTTAGAACAGGTCCTTTATGAGACAGCCCAGTTAGCCATTCAGTGGATTGAGCACCCGCTACCTGTGAGCCAAGTGTCGAGGACTCAGTGGTGAGCAAAAGCTAGCAGGTCTCCACTCTCATGGAGCTCACAGATAAGGGAGTAAGACCAGTATTTTATCACAGCCCTAGTTCACAAGGGTGTCTGAAGTGACAGTGGTGTACTGTGATTAATAACTTAGGTTGTATGCTAGTGTTTTTGCTTTCTGTCTACACCACAGATACTGTGGAACACTCCCTAGACAGTAGAGATGGCTCTCCCTGTCTTCACGTGAAGCCTTGCACTCCCGACTTTTATCAGACACACTGCCAGCTGGTGCGTATTAAAAAAGTTGAAATGAGATTTCCTTCTTGGTCATAAATATTTCTTTTCTGCCTTGTTAGTCAGAAAATCTTTGCTGATGAGATGATAACCTTCATCTGTCTGCTGGGGGTTAGCAGTGTCTGTCTAATGGGGGATTCCTAGGTGATGTCACCGCAAAGCTCATGGTCTAACTGGCCTCCCTTCCCCAGGCGTATAGGTTGCAGTCCAGGCCGCGTGGCCTGGCATTGGTGCTGAGCAATGTACGCTTCACTGGAGAGAAAGATCTGGAATTTCGCTCCGGAGGAGATGTGGACCACAATACTTTAACCACCCTCTTCAAGCTTTTGGGCTACGATGTGCACGTTCTACATGATCAGACTGCACAGGTGTGTAAGGCAGGAAAGATTGACACATGCCTGAGAGGGCTGGGCTGCGATTTGGGGTCAGAAGCCTCTGCTGGAATTTACGCTCCTTGTGTCTTCACTCACTCTGTTGTGCCTCTCATCTTGCAATCTAGTAAAAAAAGATGTGGTGTCAGCCGTCTGTTCTGGTGTTGATGCAGTCTCAGGGTAGCTGTGCTTCCGTGGGCAGGAATGGTCCAGGCTTGGGTTCTCACTTTCACATGGTTAGAAACTTGATTCCCAATCCCTCAGTAAATGATGACCTGCTGAGATTTCACCCGACCAGATCAGGAAGGGTATTTATAAGCTAGGACTGCTCTGGACATAGACTTCTTGGTTGGTACTGCTGCTTAAGAGTCTAATTGTTGTTTAAAAGTCTGTTTGCTGATATAATTCTTGCAGATGTTTATCTACTAGGACTACCCCGGCAAATACTATTTTATAGTAGTAATGAACTAATCCATATGTCCCATCATCCTACATACAGGATGCCTGCAAAGACTTAAATTGAGCAATAACTGTCATCTGTATGGTAACTTTGAAATAAACTTGTTATTGAAATATGAATTAGAAACCTGACATGTAATGGATTAAGGAAGTACCATTATTCTAGAGTCAATTGTAGATTTATTGATATACATTTATAAATAGGCTGTTACCAGTTTCAAAATATGAATCCTTAACAGAGTTAGTAATATAGCTTAGTAATTGAGGTTAACAAGGACTAACCCACAGTGTTTTGCTAGAGCCTAGTCCAGAAACAATATCTTTTAAGATATAACATGCGGTTGTATACTTTCCTGTTAACTAAGCTTTCTTTTGGACTGTTAGTGGTGAAATTAAAATTTCAAAGTGGTTTTCCTTCATCTGTTTCAAGTGGCAGAGAGGTCTTTGTTTTATGTTTAGTAGTGTCTGTGATGATTGTTTCTGTTTCCTAGCTGTCCTACTTCTGTGAAAATAATTATATATGTGCTGTACTCTCATTAAGGGCAGTGTCACCCGTAGATACCTGGGTGTTACCCTTTTCATGCTCTTTTTGCCAGCCTGCCAGTAATAGCTCATGCAAAATAAATACAGCCTCGTCTCAAAGCTGTGGCTGAAACACCTGCTTCTATCACCAAGTATTCACATGAGTTACACCCTTCCCAGAGGTCTACTGCACATGTAGGGAACCGAGGGTAGGATATCCACCATGGGTCTTACAGAGGGGCTCCTGTTAGAAGGTCATCTAACAAAGTGTAATGTGTGTATGTTTTCTTAGAGGCTTTGGCCTAGCCATTCTTCACACAAGACACATGTCTTACTTTTCCAGTATGTGTAGTTAATAGGGACCTTACATGCCTGAGAGAAATAAAATACTGACTAGCCAAGTCAGTAATGTATTATCTTTTTTTTTTTTTTTCTGGAGACATTGATTTGATAGCCTGGGCCCAGTTTATGAATGCCATTCCCATTTGTGTGAAACTTTATGCAAATTCACGGGCCCATTAAATTTTAATCCTCTGGGTAGATTGTCCTGTAACCAAATTACACTAGAAATAAACTTTGACTGCTTTATAGAGGGAGACTAAGCTAGCTGCAGGGATTTCTAAAACATGGACTTTGAGTTTATGGTACTTCCAGGGATGCAAAAGTCTTGGGCCCAGCAGAAAAAAAGTGAATTTTTGTGTTTTATGCCCAAGAACCCAACAAGAGTGACAGTGTCTTCCCTAGTAGCCCAGAGGAAGAAATGCTTAGGCAGAAATGGAGCAGGTGAGGCTTGAGCCGGCTGAGGGTACAGGAGCTCCTGCAGGGGAGGGCAGTGGGACAGGCACTGCAGAGAGGGAAGGCCGCGTACAACAGAGATTCATGCGTGTCACAGTGTGGTGCACTGAGTGTCTGCCAGCCCTGTTCATGACAGGATCTCTCCAAAAACTGCTCTCTCACCATTGTTTGTTGAGCAAAGAAACAGAACCAGCAAAATTAGTATCCTTCCTCTTGCCAAACCTTTGGGACATTACAGATAAATGCTGTTTTAAAACAGGAAATAGTACGATTAGTCATAAGAGAACCCTCATCTCTTGACAGTGCTGGAGAGTGCCCTGGTTTTCTCGCTGCCGGAGTTCTGTTTTTTCATTTTCTGTTTGATTAAATTCTCTACTTCTTCATGTTATTAGTTCTGCAGTTACCATTTACCTTATATGGGGAAATGTGACAGATTTTCTTCTACCATGTGTTTTTGTTTTTCTGGCGTCCCAGATAGCTTTGCACAGTCTGGGTCATCCCTGGAAAATGCAGCTCTCCATGCAATATTGCATTAAGTTTCAGAGGGTTCACGGTTTACTCTCACACATCTCCCAACCTCCAGCCAAAACATATCCCGGAGTTAAGAACCCAGCTATTTTTAGAAGTACTGTAATTTTATCAGAAATAAGGCCACAGGTACTATTTTAAGCCACTTGTGGAAAATCCCCCTACTTATTCAGTCTTACTAGGTTCGGGTACAAAATATATGATTGGGTTTTGTTGTTCTCTTTTTACTGACCAAATCTTAGTTGAAAATAACTCATGAGTAAGTGCCCAAGTATGTAGCTTGTATTCTCTTGGAGCAAAGTTCTTTTAACTGTCATTATGATGAATTCTGTTACTGTAAGGTTCACTAGAATAATCACAGGTATTTTTTTTGAAGTTACATATTCTTGAAGCAAATGGTTTTTATCTGTTTATTACCATAAGATTTCCACTTCTATGGTTGCTTCTGTTTGTACAGCTCAATTATCTGCAAGCAGAGGTTTTGCAAGCCCATAGATTAGTAGTTCTCAAGTTTTAACAGATCAGAATCATCCGGAGGCCTTGTACAAACAGTTTGCCAGGGCTTGGGCTTTTATATTAAGTTCCTGGGTGGTTGCTGCTGTAGCTGCTTCAGGGCTCCCATTTTGAGAACCACTGCAGTGTGTTATACAGGTATGCTTTTTGTTTGGGGTTGTGCGTGGTTGATGTCAAAAATTTGTGCTGGAGCCATTCTGCTTAAGTAGGATATTTATCTCCATTATATTTCAGCAGATTCACAATGAAATTATTTTGTTTTCACCTCTATTCATGTCACTTAGGAGAAAAGATCTGGACATCAGAGCTATAGAGGGAAATAATGGGTTTAAAAATTTAGTCCAGATTACGAATTAGGCTCAGTGTACTTTGATGTTTGATAAGCCAAGTACTTAAGATCATGGTATCCTGTATGGCCATTTAGTGCAAGATCAATAACATTCTTTAATTGTACTACAAGGTTCACTAGTAATAATTTTTTTGTGAAAATGACATCATGGCTCCCTATTAGATATGTATACTATGTGCAAGAGGACAGTGTAAGTCCCTTCTATGAAATATCTCTGTCATAAACTTAGAGAATATTTGCTAATAATTGTTTTCCTATAAAAATGGAGCCACGAGGGACTCAGTAACTTGTTCTCTTTTGAACCAGGGTTCAAGCCTAGCTCAGCCTGATCCCAGAGGCCATGTGTGCAGTGATGCTGCACATGCAGCCTGCATCACAGCATGCCGGCCCTGAACAGCGCTGAGACAGACAGCGTCCCTGCCCCTCCGGTAGTGACTTTGCTACCTGCACACAAGTCTTGTGATTCTCTCCTGCCCTGAGGCCGTTGAGCCTGTGTGGCAGAAGAGTGTGTTTTCTTGCAGTGGGATAGCTGCATTGCTTACTCAGTCTTAGCTCCCCTGGTGATCCCCCTGTGCTGTTTATATACAAGAACACTTGGTATAATGAAAGATCTGATTGAGATCAGGGAATGAGTCATAGCCAGTGATTAGTTTCATTAGCTCAGTGACTTGCTTTAATCTAAGAGTTCATAGCCTGTTCTGGTACATCGGTGAACCTGTGGTTAGAACTTTGTGGCTCAGGCCAGGTGCGTTTTTCTGGTGAGCCCGTAGCTTCTCAGAGAGTCTCTGCAGTCTCTTGTCATTGACTTAAGAATATCGAGAAAGCATTTTACCTGCCGGTAGCTTACGGTTTCAGATAGGAACCAAGAGTTTCTGCTTACATTGGTGCTGACTATAACAAACAGTACTGAAAAGTGTCTTGTCTTCTATCTAGGAAATGCGAGAAAAACTTCAGAAGTTTGCACAGTTACCTGCACACCGTGTCACGGACTCCTGTATAGTGGCACTGCTATCGCATGGTGTAGAGGGCGGAATCTATGGTGTGGACGGGAAACTACTTGAGGTGTGTGTAATCCTCCGGAAGCCAGCTGTTGAAATTCACTAGGAGATTTCACCTTCTGCCTGTACCTTCCCATCATGACGGCTCTTAGACTTAGAGGGCTTCTGGAGGCCCTCCTGACTTCTCTCTCTCTTTTAAACGATTTATTTATTTTTATTGTAAAGAAATTTACAGAGAGAAGGAAAGACAGAAATACCCTTTGTCTACTGGTTCACTGCCCAAGTGGCTGCAGTAGACAGAGCTGAGTTGATCCAAAGCTAGGAGAATTTTCCATGTCTCCCACATGGCTGCAGGGTCCCCTATGGCTTTGGGCCATCCTTGACTGTTTTCCCAGGCACCTGGCAGGGAGCTGGAAGGGAAGTGGTGCAGCCGGGACACAAACCAGCACCCGTACAGAATCCTGGCTGTTGTAAGGCGAGGATTTAGCCACTGAGCCATCATGCCAGGCCCAGCCCTCCTAACTTCTTAACCCACCTCTCCGTCATTTCTTTTTGGCAGCTACAAGAGGTTTTTCGGCTCTTTGACAATGCCAACTGCCCAAGTCTGCAGAACAAGCCAAAAATGTTCTTCATCCAAGCCTGCCGTGGAGGTGAGTGTCCTGGCAGGCCAGCACTTGGGCGGTGGCTCCTGGGCAGCCTCCCACCAGCGCTCACTGTCCTGTTTGCTCCTCTCAGGTGCTATTGGACCCCTTGGGCACCTCCTTCTGTTCACTGCTGCCACCGCCTCTCTTGCTCTGTAAGTGTCTCCCGATGCATGGGGTGTGCTGGGACTTGGGCAGCCCTTGGCTCTCAGGCTGGTCAGCTCTCTGTGCACCACCATTTCTTGTTGCCAGGACTCTTGCCAGCATCTACCTTCTTTTCTGACAAACCTGGCTTTTCTGTGCCTATTAACTCTGATGTGCTTTTTTTGTTACTAAATTCCAATCTAGGATCTTCTGTCTTGTCTTCTCTCTCACTTTATCTCTTTTTCTTTTCCCACTTGCACATGCACTTCCACTCTGCTTCTTTCTTTGTCACTCGTGGACCATGCAGGGTAACAGTTCAGAACCTGTTGGCCTTGGACTCTTGCTTCTCATTCCCTTCTCTCTTTCTTGCATGCCATCTGCCCTACCCCTTCCAGAGCTGTGTGACGAGGCTAGGTAGACACACATGGCATACTTCTCACCCTGTAAGAGAAGAGTAGTTAAGAGTTAGACTTGAGAATCAAACTCTGATCTCTACTGTGTAGCAGCTATGTAAAGTTAGAAAAGTTATTGATACTTTTCTACCACAGTTTTCCTTGAGGTAAAGTGTATGTGATCACTATACTTGTTTTTTATCAACTGGCTGTAGTAGTTGACTGGAACTGTGCACTCAAGGGCTACCTTAGCACTGTACCTGGCTCATAGTTAATCCACCCAAAATGCCAGATATAACATGATCCAGATGTAACGTGGGACCTAGAGCTTAGTTTAAAGGACACTACCCTATTGTGTGGCCAGTAGCTAATGCTATTAGCCCCCTAATTTTGATACCTCCCCAGAGTGTATGTTGCTGAGGTCCTATAAGATGACTAGGACTAGAGTGAGAACTGTCAGAAAAGTGAAAGAAAACGTGGCCCCTCCAAGGAGCCTAGTAGTTACTCGGGGCAATAGAGCAGATGTGCTTGAGACTAGTTTAGACGCCTCATGTAAGCAGCGAGGGAACAAGTGGCACCCAGACTGTACCTGTGAAAGAGTACACCTAAGGATAGATTATTGAAAGCGAGGTCCATTGGAAGGGATTTACAGTTAACTTTGGACCTAGAATACTATGACTTATATAGGTGAAAATCTGGTGTCTTTCACGGGAAAGAGGCAGTGTAGCATGTTGGGCACACAAGGACTAAAAAGACACATTTCCCCTTCCCTCCCAAAATGCCCAGATCCAATAGAAGACTGATTACCTATGTAAGTTGAAGTGAAGTGTGGTTGGTCACAGGAAGCAGATCCAGCTGATGACAAGCCTTTAGTCACAGCTGAGGTTTGGGTCAATAGTACAGAGGTGGCTGAACTGTAAATAAGAAAGAATGAGATAGATGTTTCTCCAGGAAGGTCTGTATGGCAGGAAGCTGCACTAAGGGAAGAGGGTGAGGGCAACAACTTTGTTTTTGCTTCATTGCTGTAACCTCAGGCCAAGAGCACTGCCTGACCCACAGTGACACTTGTAGATATCAGATGAATAGGTGAAAGCCTGCCTATTACATCGTGTAGCGGTAAGAGAGAAAACAGATGGAGGGATATTGTGAAGAAAGAACCAGTAACATTAATTAATAGATCTGCTCTGTGAAGGCAAGAGATGAGTGTGACTGTGTGCTGAGGGACATATGTAGGGCTCTAGTCTAAATAAAGATAGCAGTGTTCATTTTCTCCCACTGTAGGGACAGTTTTAGACAGTATTAGATCCAAATGGTGGAAATTGTTGTTTTCTGTAGTAATATTCCGCTGTGTCTCTCCATCTTTTCCAAAAATGAAATCTTTCAAGGGATAACCAGTAGCCAGTTGTTTCTTTGAAGATTTGCACTCACATATTTTCCTGCTGTATTTACTTAATGCATTAACATCTGCAGAAAGCACTGTGCCTTGCCCGAGTTGATCAGCTCTGAGGACAGGAGCTCCGCCTTCAGCAGATCCCTAGGGCTTCAAGTAAAACAGCACCTGGCAGCCTGACAGTTGCCCCATACATCTTTGCTAAATGTCTTTAGACATGGCCTTTCTTGTTGAACTCTTGTGAGTGGAACAGGAATACAGTGAAAGACCATTGTCTCTTCCCTGTGGTCTGATGACCTGGGAGTCCTTCCTGTGTCCATTTTATGTGAGCAACACCCCTGCCCACCCCCGACACGAAACACAATGTCAGAAATAAGAAGCAAGAAGCTGCCCTGGGGTATATAAGGCCTGGCTCAGAATCTGGCGTGTGCTCAGGGTGTGTTTCGAAGATACTGCTAAAACTGGATAACGTACTCCCCCCAATTGATTCCCAATTTTAAGCTTTTCTCTTTTGAAAACTCTCTTAAATCTTGAATGCTTGTTATAGCTCATGAAAATAAACCTTAAATTAAATGTTAAAACATTAAATGATCTTGGAAACAGCTGGTCATGCTTGTTATATGATTTTTTTATTGATACCTAGTTTGAAGTTGTGATTTTATGGTATGTATAATAACCATATCTTTGGCTTATTCACTTTTGTTTCTTGTTTGTGGAATAAAAGTAAATGTTTAGTATTCACTATATACTGCAGTGGAAGCAAGGTGAACTCCAGGTGTATTGTTATGTGAACAAGTGAATCATGAACTCTGCTGTGTTTGATTCTGTTCACAAGATTGGTTTGATTTGGCACTTTGTCTTCCCCAGAACAGGAGGTGCTCCAGCACGTGAGCACCGTGCCTGGCCAATGGCAGGAGAGCAAGCATCCCGGACTAAAGGATGCTTGCTGCAGAGTAATGATCTTTTTTTTTTCCCCTTTTCTTCAATTCACCAAGCGTAGGTTGGGAGACCACGACTGAAAATGGTGCCTTCCAGTCAAGGAACTTATAGGGAACTTGGGCTTTCCTATGACAGACTCAAGAAAGATGGGAAGAAGTAACACCTCTCTCCATTTCTGTCTGCCTTTCTACAGATGAAACCGATCGTGGAGTTGATCAGCAAGACGGAAAGAACCAGGCGGGATCCCCCGGGTGCGAGGAGAGCGATGCTGGGAAAGAGGAACTGCTGAAGATGAGGCTGCCTACTCGCTCAGACATGATCTGTGGCTATGCCTGCCTCAAAGGTACTGTGAAGTCATTCCATTCCTACACTGCTCGACCTGGAATTCTCTGGCTGGTGCTGGGGATGTCTTACTTGGGAAATCAAGTCCAGCCGTAGGGATCCTGCAGGTCCTGTAGACCATGTCTAATGCTGTTCTGCATGCAGGGACTGCAGCCATGCGGAACACCAAGCGAGGTTCCTGGTACATCGAGGCACTTGCTCAGGTGTTCACCGAGAGAGCTTGTGACATGCACGTGGCCGACATGCTGGTTAAGGTAAGTCGGCTCGGGCTGGCTCCGTGAACATGGCCATCTCCACTCTGTTCTCCTTTTTCCTCCTTTCTGCTGTGTTTCTTGTTGACTCTTTACTCTTCCGTGTTGTGTGACTTTGCAAAAAGCACAGGACTCTCAGACTCTGAACCCCCCTGCTTCTGCCGGTGCAGGTGAATGCCCTTATCAAGGAGCGTGAAGGCTATGCCCCGGGCACGGAGTTTCACCGCTGCAAGGAGATGTCCGAGTACTGTAGCACTCTGTGCCGTCACCTCTACCTGTTCCCGGGACACCCTCCCACGTGATGCCTCCTCCCTCGTCCCTGCCAGCTGGAGGTGTGATAGAGCCTTTTGTTCTCCGGGATGCACGGTTTCTGTCTTTCCCCACTCAGGGATTTGGGAATCTCCAGACTTGTTTCCTGTGCCCGTCATCTCCGCCATTGAATATGAGACTTGAGGCCAGCTCCTTTTGTGTGACACGGTTTCCATGTAGGCACACTGACTAGATTGTTTGCCACAGGTGTTTTGGCCACAGTTGAAGAGCCTGGCCAGTGAGTTTATGAAGAGAACATGAAAGAGTTCTTCCATGTTTTTGTTCAGTTCCTGCCCCTAGGGCTTCTGTAGGGAACAGTTCGGGCATTGCTTTTATTCCCTTAGTTCAGGTGCCTCAGAGATCATCTGCTGTCTTTTGTATTTCCAGTAGGCATTTTTGTTTGGCTTTGAAGAGACGAGTGGGATTGGAGACGGCCTCTGCCGTGTGCAGAAACGGCCTGTGTGGAGGAACGGCCTTCGTGCCTCCCCATCCACCCACACACCCTCTTTGCTTCCTGGAGCTCCAGGCACCCAGGCTTTCAGCACAGCCTAGGGTCTGCATCGTCACCACTGGACATCATTGATCTTGGGCCCTACGAAGGCCCAAAGGTCTCTCGCTGATCATCTTTTTGTCTGAGTTTCCGTATTACTAAAAGCAGCCGAGCACCCTGAGCTCTCACCATGTTTTCTTGATCTTTCCTTTGAGCTGTCCAAGGACAGCTGTCAAAGTCTCCCTGTTACTGTTCCCACTTCCACGCAGTCAGCCCGCACCTCGAGTCTGGGCTCCCTCCCTGCTTACCTCCCTGCTTCCTGTCCCTCCCCTTTCCTGTGGTTTTATCCTGCTCACTGCTGCCACCAGGTGTGTCTAAAGTATTCCTTCCCTGGATCATTTGACTGCAAGGAACTGCTGTCTCATTCCTGCATTATGCTTCAGTATTGAACTCCCCTTTGGTTTTATGGAGCCTTGTCTCCCACTTCTCACTATTCCTCTTTCGGTGAGGAACCTAGCTAGAAAACTCTGCTTCTGTGAACTTGCCCGCTTTAAGGCTTTCTTTTTTTATTTCGATTCTGCCCCCTTCCGTCTATTCTCTACATAACAGGCTGGCTTCTTGGCGTTCTGATTTTTTAATTCAAAGCTGATGATGTCACCCTGCCTGCTTGACCCCTTGGCTTCCTATTACACCTCATAAAATCCAAACGACTTAGCCTGGTTTGAGATAAGTTCCTTGCCTTCCCCTTCGGCCTCATTAAACGATGATTTCTGGCTAAGCTCAGCCCCAGTGGCCTCCCCATGGGTTCTCAGCCACGCTGAGTTCCTTCCGGCCTCTGTCCCCGCTCCTGTGAGCCCCCCCCCCATGCCCACCACACTTGTCTTGAGTGGCATCTTTATTTTGTGGAAGGCTTTGCAGGTCCCTTCTCTGTAAATAGTTTTCTCCTGTATTCTTTGTTACTGAATGCTGTTTATTTCCCTCATTGCACTTACTTCATATTATAGTTAATATATTTACCTGCTTTTCTGATTCCCTTTTATCCTCCCTGCTTACGCTGTAAGCTCCTGAGCAAAGAAACTTGGTCTCTCTTTCTTTCCAGTATGTGATCAGTGCCTGGCACTTAACTAGGCCTTGAGTAAATGTTTGTTGAATGAAGAAAGGACATAACCATGCAGCCAGCCCTGCTAGAATTCTACTTTTTGACAAGATTTCCCTTTTGACAATATATACAGGTTGGTTCTTTTCCTCGGGTTATGTTTCTAGCCACTGGTTTTATCTGCAGCTCCTTGAAAACCCATCATGTGTGAGACAACCTCCCTTCTCATCTCCCATGGTGCCTGGCAAAATGCTAGGCCTGCAGCGGTCCAGGTGCTCAGTAAATGCGCCATGAGCCAGGTTACTGGAAGACTTGCTGCCAGGTCCTGCCTCTGGGTCCATAGAGCGTGGAAATATTTGAGTGATTATGACCTTTCCACTTCCCACTGCCAGGTTTTTGTATTGCCCTTGGGTGCCAAATAAATGCTTATATTTGTTACTGAAATGTCTCTTCTGTGTTTGTTTCTGTAACTATTCAATCTTGTGACACCATGTACTTTTGAGCTGAAGGCCCTTGTTTTGTGCCCTCTCTCTCTCTCTCTCTCTCTCTCTCTCTGTCTCTCTCACAGACACACACACATTGGCATGGCTCTGGGATTTCTCATGGTCTGGTGTCATGGGAGAGTTATTAGCAAGCCATGTTGGTGCTGGGTTATTTACATTTTAGTGCGGAGATTGAAATAGGAGGATGAGAGGGCTGGGGTGGAAGAGTTTGTTTTTCACATGGTCCAAAGTAGATTTAAGGTTTTTGTTTTGTTTTTGTTTCTAAGCATGGGCCTAGATTGTAAAGGATGTCAAGGACAGCATGAAGAGATGAGCCTAAGCAGTGGTCTGAGAACTGGGGAATGCCTGGAGAGGCAAGTGTGCAGGTGTATGTGGAAGAGGGAAATTTTGTAGGAATATTTATGTAGGAAACAGCTGATGACAGCAGAACCTGATGAAAGGTGCTGAGAAGTACAAGCTTAGAGGAAATAGCTGTCTAGCAAGAGGACATTTGAGTCGGCCTGAAACATCACCAATAAATAGATGGGAATTTGGTATGGGGCAAAAGGGTATGAAGAATAAACGGGTTGTTTTACAAGGAAAAGGTGGATAGCCTTAAAGAAAAAATTCAGAATCCAGGTGAGGCTGAGAAATCACTGGAGTAGGAATGCTCCTGGGAAGTGTGATGTGTCAGAAGGAGAAAGCAGCGTCTGGTCGAGCTGGATGCCATGTCCTTCCTACCCCCGCCCTTGAATGCGGATGTTGGGATCAGTTTCACAGCTCAGTTCCCTGCCCCCATCCCACATTGCTTATCTCTGCCAGGGGATTCTCTTCTAAAATTAACCCCCTCCCTGAGCTGGGGGCTGCCCTCTGCTGCCCTTCCCTATCCTGTTTGCTCACACGGAGAAAGGGAAAACAGGAAACAAAACAAATGGAAGATCCAACCAAAGCTGCTGTGCAAAGAAAGGGAGGAAGGCATTAATACTGGCTGAAACCAGAGCTGAGTAGAGCTTTCCATTTCATCTTCCTCTCAGTCCCCACAAGGGAGTCATTTGCCCTGTTTTCTCTCTGAAGCGGAAAATGAAGCTCAGACTTTGAATTATCAGAAGAGGCACAAATGCAGCTTACTTAAAGGCATGGATTCTAGAAGTGAGAAGATCCCATTGTACGTACCAGCTCTGCCTTTGTACTTAATGAGCCTCAGTTCCCCTTATCTAAGAGTGAGGAAATTGTTTTCTGCCTTTAAAGTTCCTTATGATGATAAAATATAATGTTACAAGGAAGGATTGGGAGAGGAGCAAGGACTCTGAAAGAATAGAGGGCAAGGCCCCATAAAGAATAGGAAAGACAACTAAGGTGTGCTACAAAGAGAAAGTGTTCAGAAGAAATTGCTGTTACTTTCCTGTAACAACGGGAAGCAGGGACAGCTGGGTTTCTTCTCCCTGCGTTTACAGAGGGAAGTGGTCACCAAAAACATCCTTACAGGGTGTGATAGCTGTATTGCCCAGTAGATTGGGGCGGCTGGTGTAATCCAGAAAGAAAAACCATTCCGAAATTGACTTGGGGACACCAAGGGGCTGTCTCCAACGCTGCCATCCATACTCCCATACAGGTCATTGACCTCATTGTCTTTGTGCAGGCTTATAGCAAATGGCAGTTCTGTACTTTGTGTGTGTGTGTTTGTTTGTGTTTGTTTTTTAAAGATTTGCTTATTTCTCTGAAAGGTAGAGTTACAATAAGCCAGGTAGAACTATCTTACTTCTGGTTCACTTCCCAAATTGCCACGACAGCCAGTGCTGGGCCTGTCTAAAGCCAGGAGCCAATAGTTTCTTCCTGTCACCCACAGGGGTACAGAGGCCCCAACACTTGGATCTTCCTCTGCTACTTTCCCATGCATATTAGCAGGGAAATCTTTGAGACATGAAGCAACTGGGACTCAAACTGTGCCCATATGGGATCCCAGCACTGTAGGCGGTGACTTTTCCACTGTGCCATTGTGCCTGCCCCCAGGTCTATATGTTTTTAAGGAGTAAAGAGCTATTGACTTTTTTTAATGTTTATTTTCATTGACTTGAAAAGCAAAACAGCATATAGATCTTCCATGACCTGGTTTACCCCCAAAATGCTGCAAAGGCCAGGGCAGAGCCAGGCGGAACAGGAAGCCAGGAATGACATCCAGGTCCCCCTCATGAACGACAGGGGCCTACGCGTGAGCCCTCACCTGCTTCTCCCATGATGCTCTAGTAGAAAGCAGGATCAGAAATGAAGTATCCAGGACTCCAACCAGTAGTCTGACTGTGGGGTAGACATAGCCACCTGTTTTACATTGCCTGGTCCAGAATATATTTTAACTATTTAATACCATGAATCCTGGGAAAATACAAGAAGCCTCAGAAAAATGCATGTCACGTGCACATGCATTTATTTCCCACTGTAGGAGCCTTATAGGATCCAGAAGTCCACACTTGACCTTCCAGATTAGAGCAAAAACACTAGACCCAAGGCTTGTTGTGGTGGTGGGGGGGAACATAGTTTAAGTTTTGTTTTCTAGTTGCCTGCAGGACAATAACTGAACCATGCTCTGCGAAGAGCTGAAAACTTTTCTATTCCTGAAGCCCTCCAAAAAATAAAATTTAACACAGGCATTCTACTTCCTCTACTAATAAAACATTCCTTTCATACCAATCCCTTAGTGCCTTCCCTGTTTTCTTCATGTAAGTGGCTGTCATTACAGTCATTACAGAACTTGCAATTCGTGAGTGGACAGTAAGCTTTGAGGTTTGTCAGACTCAGGGTAGAAAAGGTGCTTTGTGATGTATAATTGACAAGTAGAAATTACACATATTTTAAGATGAACAACTTGATATCTTAATATATACCTTGTGAAATGACAACCACAACCAGGCGGACTAATGAATACATCCCTCATCATTTGTGTGTGTGTGTGTGTGTGTGTGTGTTTTGGAAACCATTTGAAGTTTAATGTCTTGGGGCAAATGTCAAAGCCAGCATCTGATACTGAGCTGCTGTTTTGAGTCCTGCTAACTCTGCTTCCCAACCTGCTCCTACCGATGCACCTGAAAAGGTAGTGAAAGATGCCTGAGAGCCTGGGTCCCTGCTACTCATGTGGGAGACAGGAATGCAGTTCTTGGTCCCTGGCTTCTTCCTGGCTCAGCCCAGGCCATTGTGGCCATTAGGAGAGCAAACCAGTGTGTAGAAGAGCTTCCCCTCTCTGTCACTACCTTTGAAATAAATATTTTTTTAAAAAAAATTACCCTCTTATTAAAGATTAAGTATATAATTCAATGTTGCTAACTCTAGGCACTATGTATGTTAGGTACTTAAACTTGCTCACCATGTATAACTTAGACTCTTTAATTTTTTTTTATCAGTTTTATTTTTTATAATGATTATGTGGTAGACCAGGGTGGGAAGGATTGAGGTTTAGAGAAAATTGGGTGTACTCATTGCTTCCAAATTTGCTATTCTTGTTTCTGGAGGAAGGGGAGAAGCAAAGGGGGGAACCATGCATGACTTTTCGCACATCCCAGTACCCAGGGATGAGAAACTTCCACCACATATCCTCCCAGAGCCTCAGTGTGTGCATATTCCAAGGGTTCTCTCCAAGTGGTTTGGATAGATCTGAAATGCTGCCCGTTTCACCAATTGGAGGATGATGTCACCCTCCCAATGTCCATTGGTTCCATTCACCAATATTGCTTTGCTCTAATCGTTCGGGGTAGTCGTCCAGTTAGCTCTGTTCTGCTACAATAGCAAATGAGCTGCCATATTCTCCTTTTACAACAGACGCATCACTTAAATGTTATACCCTTAACCAATATCCCACTGATACCCTCTACCCCACCAACATCACCAGCCAGGTCCTAATAGCCAATAGCCTACTCTCCTATAAATTCAACTGTTTTATTTCCCAGATGTAAGTGAGATCATGCAATGTCTGTCTTTTCATGTCTTGTTTATTTTACTTAGAACAGTGCCCCTCCAGGTCATTCATATTATTGCAGATGGGAGAATTTTTTTTACTTGTTTTAAACAGGTTTAGTTTTACTTGAAAGAGTTACAGGGTGAGTGGAGAGAAAGAGATCTTCCATCAGGTGGATCACTCCTCAAATAGCCCCAATGGTTAAAGCAGGGCCAGTCTGAAGCTGGAAGCCAGGAACTGCTTCTGGATTTCCCATGTGGGTACAGGGACCATCTTTGTGGCTTTCCCAGGCCATTAGCAGGGAGCTGGATTGGAAATCGAGCAGCCAGGACTCGAATCAGTGCCTATTTGGGATGCTGGTGCTGCAGGCAGAGAATTGGGCTATTACGTCACTACACTGGCCCCCAGATCCTCGTAATATTCCATTGTGTCTCTGTACCACATTTTCTTCATCCGTTCATGAGTTGACAGAGGCTTGGATTGTTGTGATTAGTGCTTCTGTGATCATGAAAACAGGTACTTCTTCAACAACTGATTTTTTTCCTTATGCCCAGAAATGGGATTGCTAGGTCATACAATGGTTCTGTTTACATTTTTTAAGGACCTTCTTACCATTTCCATGCATTGCCTGAACCAATTTACATTTCCAGAAGCAGTCCACAAGGGTTCGCCTTTTCTCCACTTCCTTGCCAACACTTACCGGGTGCCTTTTTGAGGGTAGCCATCCTAGCAGGTGAAAAATGATAATCCAAATATGTGGTTTTAATTTTGCTGATTACCAATGCTGAACAGCTAGCAAGGGTGCTTTTAATGATTATAGCAGCTTTCTTCTTGCTTTGGGTAGTCCCACTCAGCCTAGATCAAAATTATACTGTGTGCCAAGAGACCACATATTTGATGTTACTACACCAGTCCCTGAATTTGGATGGTCCGAATACATGCTCCACTTGAGGAAACATCCTAAGCATCTCACCTTGTATCTCTTATTCTATAGTAGGTTTACACAGAAAGAATG